TATATATATATATATATATATATATATATATATATATATGTGTGTGTGTGTGTGTGTGTATATATTCATAAAATACATATAAACATTATAGTTTAATCGTATTATAGTGTGGAACAATGTTATTCTATATAGAATATATATATATATATATAAACTAAAAACAGATTTTATAATTATCCATAAAAATTTGTATTATTTTTCCAAAAAGTGGTAAGATGTATTTAAAGATTCAAATTTTTCTTATTTAATTAAGAAAGAGCTCAAAATTGCAACTTAAAAATCTTCAAACCAGGCTAACACGTCTATCTTTTATATGAATGCAATTGCACATGTAAATTGTCAAAGCCGGCTAACACGTCTTATTTTTCTAGTTCTACGTCAGACTTAGTTAATATTTTTTTTTCAATATGGTATATTGTTTAGTAATGTTTAGTATACTAAATATCATAAAACTAAAACTAAATTTTTTCAACATTCAAAACTAAATCCTTAATCCTAAATACTAAACCTACCATATATATAAAATGCTCATATAAAATAGTCAACCAAAACATAAAAAAAAAAAAAATCCTACATCTTCAAAAGTCAGTTTTTTTATGTTTATGATCTGTGATGTTTTTGTAGGAAAAAAAAACTATGATATTTTACGGAATTTCTCAGATAAAGTACTACATAGTAGTCTATTTACTAATTCAAGTTTCATTTAATTACCATTACATAATTCAACTTGACAAATACTAGAGGTGGGATTTAAATGGGACAAACTCATTACTCATTACTTCCCATCTGTTAGCCGTTTACTTTTTTAAGGTCAAGAGGGAAGAGGATGGAATCAAAACTACTAGAGGTGGCGCCGAGAGAAGTGATCAAGCCTGCTTCACCATCACCTCGTGATCGTCTTCAACTCTCCATCGTTGATCTCTACTGTCCCCCAGTCTACTTGTCAACGATCTTCTTCTACGAACCTGACGATCTCTTAACCGTATCCCCGGAGATTTTCTCGGAAAAACTGAAATGCTCTCTGTCCGAGACTCTTTCCCGCTTCTATCCACTGGCTGGACGAATCGAAGGCGCTTCCATCAGCTGTAACGACGAAGGAGCCGTCTTCACAGAAGCTCGCAGCGATTTCCTTCTCCCTCACTTCCTGAGAAACCTAGATACGGACTCTCTTGTGGGATTCCTCCCGAAGTCAGCCCCCGGAGATTCTCCAGGGGAGTGGCCCTTGTTGAGTGTCATGGTCACTTTCTTCGGTTCTCGATCAGGAGTGGCGGTCTCTGTATCTGTCTCTCACAAAATCTGTGATGCAACCTCATTGGCGACCTTTGTAAATGATTGGGCTACCACAACGGCCAAAGGGAAGTCAAATGATGTGGCGGTAAACACTATTGCGTTTGCTGAAACTATCATTTATCCTCCTCCTCCTCCTCATCAAATGTATTTAGAGTTCCCATCAAAGGATTCTAATCTTAGCATCACAAATAAATGTGTCATCAAAAGATTTGTCTTCGAACCTACCAAGATTGCTGAGCTTAGACACAAGGCCGCTAGCGAAAGTGTCCCTATACCTACACGCGTTGAAGCTATCATGTCACTTCTTTGGAAATGTACCAGAAAATCCTCAAGCTCTAACAATGTAATTCAAAGGCAATCCATGATGTTTCAGGCCGTGGACTTGCGCCTTAGGATTCCATCTACTGTTTTACCACAAAATGCGATCGGCAATTTACAAACAAGTTTCACTCTCAAGAAAGACGCAGAGAGGGAGTTGGAGATCCCAGATATCGTGGCCAAATTCAGGAAAGCCAAAGAAGGAGTCAATAAGATGATCAAAGAGAATCTCCAAGCCAATACACTTAGTCAGAATTTGATGAGGTTGATGGAGAATGGTGAGTTTGAGTCACCGGATACAGACATGTGCATAATGTCTAGTTGGTGCAGAAAGCCTTTCTACAAAGTTGACTTCGGATTCGGTTGCCCGGTCTGGATGGGATACGCAGCAGAAACTACTTCCAGCACCATAGTGTATGTCCTATTGATTGATTCAAAAGAAGGTGATGGTGTAGAGGCATGGATAGGCTTACCTGAGCAAGACATGTCCGTGTTTGTTGATGACCAGGAGTTGCTTGCTTATGCAATCCTAAATCCCCCGGTCGTGTCCTAAACAGGACTACTACCAATCGCATCTCGATAAATATATTTATATATATGGATTTACTAAGTTTTTGGATTTTGTGTGTTTGTTGATGACCTGACCTTGATCGTATTTGTATTCTATTTGGTTTCCCATCGTCAGATTTGTCAGTTTTGTTCACTCTTTCATGATATGTAAAGTGCTTAGTGGATTTCCGTCATCAATGTTTTTAAAATTTCGTTAGTTTCTAATTAATAGGCTATGATATGGTTCATGGCTCTGGTTGTTTCGGAGGCTTGTACAAGCTAAGCATTTTGAAAACACCATTCTGACAAACGTGACACATGTCTACGATATTGTAGTGGTTGGACCTCAGCAAAGTGACTTTCATCTCGACCCTACTTTTTAGTCAAAGACTCAAGATGTAAGCAAACTGATAAGTAGAAGATGCATGTTTCATGACGAGAAGGTTTTTGAATGGTGTTTATTACAATAACTTGACAATCAAGTTCAGTACATTTAGTACGGTTCTAGAAGACAAGATTCACAACATTGTGAAGAGCTAGCTGATTGAATGTCACAAAACATGTGCACTTGCACGCATCACGGGAAATATAGAAGTTGGAATTTGGAAAGGAGTGCTTATAGCTATTTGAGTTTACAAAATTTTCATTGGATCAGTCCTATATTCTCGTAAAATAAACTTTGAGTGAACGATGTGCAAGGAAAAGCAACACATTTTACACTATGGTAAGCATAAGACCAAAGATCACAATCAGAACAAAGCAAAATTAATGCACGAAGAGCCTCCCTATTTGCCTGCCGAGGTTCATACATAACTTTAGAGAGGCTGCGAACCACATATCTCAGTTTTATCATATAAGGACGTTTACTTTTTTTTTTATAATATAAGTTTTATTCATTGGAATTAATAATCAAAACCGCCTAACACGTACGTAGTACTTTTGCTAACCTCGAATGTATTACAATCACCCTAATAACTAACAGAGTCATCCTGTTCGGTATTTGTCGAGATTTGAACATCAGATCCATGCGGAAGCATAAGTACAAATCTCCGAAGTACTGTTGTCTCTGTCTTCATCGACCACCTTTGAAACCATGCAAATATATAAGTATTAAAACTTTGACAGCATTAATACTAAATTGAATCTAAGTCACTAAGTGATAAATAATGAACCTGTATCTACACAGATGATGGATAAAAATGGTCATCTGCAGCTTAACGAACTCAGCTCCTACACATAATCTAGAACCGGAGCCAAAGGGAAGAAAAGTCTTGGAAACGATCGTACTCAAATCTTTTCCCTGAAATTTATTTAGTTCAGTATATTTTAAAAAATTCCTATGAATTATATTGGAGTAATAAGAGTAAACACATTGAAAAAATGAAATTACCTTCCAACGCCATGGATTAAATACTGAAGGATCATCATACATTTCAGGATTGAAATGGACATAAGGATAACCCATGAAAATCCAACCAGCTGGAATTGTATAATCACCAACTTGGTACTCATTATCAATTACTCTAAGCACCGTTGGTGCCGTGCTTGTCATCCTAAGCGACTCATTTATTACCTTAACCAATACACCAAATTAAAAAACAATATATATATATATATTTATTAAAAGTGACAAATATCCATATGTTACTATATTATAGATGTTTTAGATTATTCATTCAATTTAAAGCTGACTAAGTTTTAATTTTGAGTTTAATTGAGAAAGTGACTTATCAAATAATATATTGGAGATATTTGCATCCTTTGTTTAAGTTATATGATTTAGTTGGAGACTCACCATTTGGGTGAAAGTCATTGATTTGTAGTCTTCCCATGTTAGGTCAGCCGTCTCCATCTTCTCAATTTTACCTTGGACAATTCCTTCATGTTCCTTCTTCAACTCTTGCATGACCTTAGGGTTGTCGTTTATTAGCTTTACTGTAGCCGCAAGTACCCCTGGAGTTGTCTCGTTAGCAATCACAAACAAAGTAAATATGTAATCGACCCCTTTCTCTACGCTGATAGTTTCGGCTCCTCCATCCATTTCTCCAAAGATGATCTTGAAAAACTCCCCAAACTCTTCTCCTGATGCTCTTTTCTTGAGTATTGTATCTTTTAGTACCTTCATCATCCGATTTCTTGCCTGTCACGTAACATAAATGGCCAGTTTAAGAAAAATGAAGGCACTTGGTATGTAAAGGTTTTAGTTACCAAAAAAGCTCTGTTTCTAGAAATGTTATAAAAGGACGTTCACTTTTTGTATTTATTTAAAAACATGATTATGGCCTTTAAAAAGATGGTTATGTCCATTATATTTGGCCCATTGCTAGTTCTGAAAACACCATCACCTCTTATTGTTTTGTTCCTAATCCTATGAGAACAGAGAGTGCTATTAAGGTTATATGACCTAAAAAAAAAAAAAGCACCTTAATCATTCGATAGAGACCAGTCCCTGGAAGATTCAACGAGAATCGAAACCATTCCCTAGGGAAAAATGTCCAACAATGTGTGAGTTCTTTTGCCGCCTCTGGTTCCATTTCGCCCATTACTTTCTTCGCAAGGCATTCAATCATAATCTGTAACGTTTGATGACATATAGTTTATAAGATGATCTATTAAGTAACAGAGTAAAAATTATGAAGTAACCATGCCATGATGAGTTACAATCTACAAACACTGTGAAATAGATGAAACTTTTTTATACCTTGCTTGACGTTTCTTTAATGTCAAGACTACCGTTCCTAGCACCTTCCTCCATGTGTGTGCGAGCCAATAAATCGATGTCTTGAATCATCCTTAGTTTTAAACCTTGTGAACCTAAAAACTGGTGTGTCAAGCTGCGGGCTTGTCTATGTGTCTCCTTATTCACAAACAAGTTGTCATCCACAAAGAGCCGTTTTAAGCTCTTTGGCATACCAGGAATATCATTTGTCTTTGCTATCTCCATATTCACTCCAATATCTGTCGAAATTATCACTTTGGCTCCAAATAAGCTTGTCCGAAAGACCGGCCCATGTCTTTTTTTTTTTTTAGGGGAAAAAAAAGAAGAAAAAGTTAGACAAACAATTCACAAAGCTTGACCAATTTACACCATCACTATATTTCTTAAGAAGCTTTCATCAGGAAAAAAAAAAAAACCAAATGATAATAATAACCTGAGTACTTTCTCCATTACGAATCTTGGTAACTGGATAGCATCATGAGCCTTCATGAACTCAAAAGTTTCTCCGATGATCGGTAAACCCATTGATCCTGGAGGAAGTTTTCCATGGCTCTTAGGATATCTCTACTGGTAGATAGAGTGAAACAGTTTCACCACTATGAGTGAAACTATCACTACCCAGAACTCATAAACCTCTACCATGTTTAAGGTTAATTATCTTCTTCTTCTTCTTTTTTTCTTTCTTTCGACTAGTTTTGGTTATCTGAGGGAAGCTCTCTCATCTCCTATTAATACAAGTTCTCAGTTGTCTCTATATTTTGGAGCACGTGGCTTATTAATGATATGATTATTGCACTTTAGAAGACGACATTTGTTCTCATAACATGCATTTAATTTATGAATATTAGTATTACATTTTCAGATTTATAAAATGTTGTTACGAAAAAAATATATATGTGGTAATAGCTACAGGAAGACTTAAATACTCTTTAGATTAAATAGTCACATTATTGTCATTTTCCTTTATTAAATACTCGCAGTCACTGTAGTACATAGGCCCCTTCCCTTCTTAGAATCTATTCCTTTACTCAAGTTAAGACCTAGCAACGTTTCACCGATTCAATTCATTTTTGAAAGCCCTTCTTTCGGATAGGGGTACCACGCAATCCGTTTAGATATATTTTAGCTGCCGGGGCAATCCATGATTTCAGTTTTGAGTTTTCGTATGTGCGAAAGGAGTTTTGCTCCTGGAAACCACGACTAGCCATTTACTCTATTGGATTGATTTGGTCGAGATCTGGTACCTCCACCATCGATGGCCAGTTCCAGTCATATATGAACATATGCGGGATTATTATGAACATGTTACGAGGACTTAAGCCGAAGCGGCTAACTCTCATTTGACCAATTCATTATCATTATTCGAACGGACATATATATGTGCAAAATAAAATTATATTTCCAAATTTATTAGTGATATTTACTTGTAATTGTATACCCACAAGTACCGAATAACAAAATATCTAAAATAATATAAATATTTGAAAAATCTTCAATCATATTTTGAAATTTGTTTATTTGGATAAATTAACTTCTCTAAAATGTTGAAATAATTATTATTAAAATAAACCAAAATTTAGGTATTTTTCAGGAAACCAAACTAAAACTGATAACTGAGTGAGTAGAAACGAAACCTACTCATATAATACAAATAATACTGAATAAAACAAATAACACGACAATACGAAAAAAAAAAAAATTGAAGTGATTGAGTTTGGACTCTTCTGGTTTTTTGGTCTGCCATGATTGACTTGGACTTTACGTTATCAAAGTAATAATGATTTTTTCCCGGACGGACTTTTCATAAACCAGAAGATAAAGATTCTCAATTCGCTATCTTCGATTGACCAAAAGAGCCGGTCGTGTATGTTAAACTGAACTGTCCAACTTGTAAGATCCAAAAAAAAGATGACTAATAAAAGTCTCAACGATAAGGTCTACGCCGGGTGTTACGGGTTGTGCTCATGTAGTCATGTATATGTAAAGTTACTGTGACCATCGAGTGCAAGTTGATACTATCAAAAGTCTAACTGGTTGGGAGTGATATTTTCTTAAGTAATGTATAAGATAATAAAATTCTAGTGGAACTTGACTTGTTCAATTGCTTATTCAATTAACGAAAGAAAACGATACATAATTTTTAATTTAAAAAGTATAGAATAGTTGTGATTTGACGAGAGGACCAATTAAACTGTTCAAACGCTACATTTAGTCTATATACTCTTTCCTTACATTCACATGTGTAATAATTGATGTTTAGAAACATTTAGAACAGAGCCATTACTATTGAACAAAAGACAAGTATCGATAGAGGGTCGGTTCCTACCGTTGGGCATAATAGGGTATTGACATGTAACGACCACTTTTAAATCGTGGTGTATTCTGACTATGAATAAATAACACCATAAATGTGAAAATATATTGAAATAGTTAACTTTGTTTTACGAAATTAATTATGCTTTCTCCCGACGATTTTTAATTGTAAAAAATTATAATAAATAAAGATACAATTTGCTTGACACTACATCAATGGCCTGGTTGCTAATTTTTTTTAAAAAAATATGTAAATATTGAAATTTAAATACTCGATTTTCAAATTTTCTTCTATTTTTTACAAGAGAATTAATTAAAAACAATTTAACACTAGAACATGAAGGATATGTAACTACGGAAGCTATGTAATTTAGAACTAACGAATGATTGAATAGTTAATATATAAATTAGTATACGTATAGCTTGCTATTTGCAGATGCATATAATTAATATATATAGTTTATGTCAGCAGAAGGTGATGTTTTGGAAACCTGTGAGCGTATCTCTTCAATAGTGTGTTATTATTAAAACTTGAAAGCTACATGTTTAGCATGGAATTGCTCTTACATCTTACGGTTTTTATACATTTTTAAAAAAATTTGTAGGTTTTGATTGGCTGTCCACTTTTGTAATCTTTTAGTTTCTTATGACTAATTCATTTTTTAACATCCATTATGCAGAAATTGAGGTATTAGCAGAACTCTACTACATTCGTTTTGACTAAAAGTTAGACTACTAGAACATGCTAAATATTATAAACCACGACTCGTAATTCTCGTAACTATATATGTATGTTGCTAAGCATACTTCTCTGGAGATCAAATAGACATTATTTATAAATAAAAAAATAGACAATATTAGAGTAAGAATATGTATCTAGTCAAAAGATATGAGAAATTACAAGTTTTTTTTCTGAAGTACTAGATATTTATATTATTTTATAAAGAAAAACAAAACAATGACAAATCACTATTTTCTTACCCCAAGTGTTTGTTTTTTCTTGACAATTTTTATGTGAGCGTGGTGGTACATGTAGAACTATTTTTTTGTTTGTGGATATTATTATTTTGATGCAGCGTTATCCGTGGAATCGTTCGCTATATCACATGAATGAAATCACAATTTGTGATAGAATAAGATTTTCTGCTATAATAATGTACTAAACGATAAATTATAGATAATGTATGTAAATTCATATTGTATCTCCATATGTTTCACAAAAAGAATATTTTAAAGTTTTATTTTTGTTTCATAAAGAGTGTTATTCTATATTTATAATGCATTGTTTAACTGAATTCTTTAATTTTACCCTTCATTTACAACTAACTAAATCCATACATCACTTATTAAATAGGAACATATGAGTATATTTTAATACTTTAAAATTTGTGTATTTGTGAAACAGAGGGAATATTCAATTTTAATATAAACATAATGGTTACAATATTTTGATCTATTATTAATGTCTAGATCTGGTCTTGATAAATCAGAAACACCTTATTATGTTCTAACAGAGACATGATTGAGATAACACCAAAGAAAAACAGAGACGTGATTGAGATTAGATATGTTTTGACAAATCTGGCCTATCCATTACTTTCATTAGACATTAAGAGAAAAGAGTCAAAAGACATTAAATTCCATACTTGAAGAAACATTCAAATTCCATACGTCAAGCTTATATCTTAAGGAAGTTCCCTGTGATTTTAGGATCATACTATTATGTGGTCGTAAACAAGTTTATCCATATGAATTATTAGGATTTTAAGAATCATTTTTATCTAATAATCTCTATATAAATAATATTTCTTCGGTTTCAGTTTAAGTAATGTCTAAGCCAAAAAAAATTGTTTTGTTTTAAGTGATGTTTTCTATTTTTTATTAAAAATTAAATATTTTTAATAACTTTTTATCAATCATATATTGCATTATATTTTTTTATTAGTTGATCTTCTTTTAACTATTGATGTTTTATGGAAAATAAGTAAATTATATATTTTCTTAATTCGTGTGTAACATCTTTAAACATTACTAAAAAGTAAACGGAAGGAGTAATTCTTTATTCCCAAAATAATATTAAAACATATATTGAGAACTGATCCCAAGAGCAATATCGCAAGGTGAGAAAGAATGGCTTTCTTGTAATATGTGCGAAATAAAAGTTGTAATCTGGACTATAACTATGTGTTTTCAAATTATACAGATACTTTACTTGCTATTACCGAAAATATTGTCTAATCTAACGTCCAATAATATACAAAGACCATTTCTAAGAGAGCTGCACATTCTAATTAGTGAGATATACTTATTGATAGCATAACTGTGTGCACCTGGATTTTTTTCTCTTTTACTTCATGATACACAAACATTATATATGAAAAAATGTCTTTGATGAAAAAACGTCTTTTACTTTGCCTTGGTTCTCCAGTCAAAGCACTGCACCATCAACCCTATTGTTGTTCCCACAAAAATGTAGGCTAGATTTGATCCAGGACATGCTCTCCTTCCCTTACCGCTCTCTCTCGTTTCCTTGTTCCGGTTTTGAAGAAGATAAAAACCTCTCTGGCTTAAGTTCATTAGGATCTTCCCAAGAATCAGGATCTCTCACAGCATAAGTATTAACAAAAGGTTTTGTTTTCTCTGGTACGTAAAACCCTTTGATCTCACACCTTTCTTTGAACATCCTCGTCAAGAAAGGCTCTGGTGGGTGCAATCTTGGTCCTTCCTTAAGCACAGCTTGCAAATAAGGAAGGTTTGGTATATGTGGTCTCCTCCTTCTCTCCCAATCATTGGTCATCTTCACCCTCTCCTCTCTTCTCTAACATTGAGCTATATTTACTACAAAACATAGGATCATGATCACATTAAATTAAACATGACTAAAGTAAAAGCACCGAATTAGCCCTCTAGCTATCGTATGGCAATATATCAGAGTCAGACCAACTTGCATTAAGCTTTGGTGACTGTTTGATCGAGCGTAGTATAATATGTCGTAAGAATTTTAATCGTATAATGTTGATGATTAACTGCATTCCCCTAATTGATTACTATACGATTGATTATAACCTAATAAAACACATATATTATAGATTGAGCCATCTTGTAGTTTCTCTTTTTTTTTTGCTCTCCTCTTCCTATCTCTTCTTGCTTTATTCTTCCCACATGCAGAATTGGAAGAGAACTTCACTTTGACATAGTCAAGAATATGCAAGCTTGTTCTATGGTTGATTTTTGATTAAACTTGTTGGCTTTTGCATTTTGCCACTTGAAAGTCTTGAATAACAAAATCGTAAATATATATTTAAAGTTTAAACAATCAAAACTGCAAATGTGACATACTCAGACGTGACATACTCAGACAATTATTGTACTCAATCAATTAGTTAAAACGTTGATTCGGATGACACACCATGGACACGTACGTAGACAGGTACACACCCTTAAATCTTGAAATACACATTATAACATAAGGGTTCTAAAACAATCAGGTAATATGATAGTCCTCTGTTTGTACACCCTAGCTATCACTATAGGATCACATTATTTCCCCCTGATTTGACATTCTCAAATAATGCACATATATATTAAAAAATTCACTTGGATCTGTCCCTCGAGATTAATGCTTGTTTGGATGTTTCAATAATTCACAATTGAAAAAGAAAAAGAAAAAGAAAAATTGTGAAAGGAATTCAAAATAAGCACGAACAGGTGAAGCATCACAGTGTATTCGGTGTTCTCTTGTTTGCTTCTTTACCTACCCCAAGCTAAATAGTCTCGTATTTGTTTTTCTCATTTTGTTCCTCTTGTTATTTTTCTATGGTAATTTAAATGATAAAACATGATAAATTTCATTAAAACCACCATATTCAAAACGATATGATTGGTTTTTGTCACCGATATGAAGTAAGTTTACTACACTCGTTGGAGTTATATAAATCATAAAATTACAAAAGTAATGACAACTTCTAATAGTTTTTAGAGGAATACTTCCAATCAAATATTTATACATAAAGAAACAACACACAGTATATATATTATAAGTGATATACTGATATACACTCAACACCACATTACAGAGAAAACACACACAAAAAAAAAAAAAAAAAAAACAAAGAAAGTAAGAAAATAATCATCAATGGAGGCGATGAAGGTTGAAACCATAAGTAAAGAAATCATAAAACCATCTTCCGCAACACCAAATGATCTTCGAACTCTTCAACTCTCCATCTATGATCACATCCTCCCACCCATTTACACTGTAGCCTTTCTCTTCTACACCAAAGATGATTTGGTCTCTCAAGAACAGAACACTTCACACAAACTCAAGACCTCTCTGTCCAAAACTTTGACCAAGTTCTACCCTCTTGCCGGAAGAATCAATGGAGTCACTGTAGAGTGCAACGATGAAGGAGCCGTCTTTGTCGAAGCTCGTGTTGATAATTGTCCTCTCTCTGGTTTCCTAAGATCTCCGGATTACAAAGCTCTCCAACAGTTGCTTCCTCTAGACATCGTCCAAAACCCGTACGAGGCTGCTGCTACTTGGCCTTTGCTGATGGTGAAAGCTACTTATTTCCAATGCGGAGGCATGTCCATAGGAATCTGCATCACTCATAAAATCGCGGACGCAGCTTCCATCTCAACTTTTGTTCGATTTTGGGCTGCCACGGCTCGAGGAGAGAACGATGCTGTGATGGAGAATCCTGAATTTGTTGCAGCAAATTTCTATCCACCAGCCAATGAGGCCTTTAGGCTTCCAATGGACGAACAAGCTAACAAGAGAAGCAACATCACAAAGAGATTTGTGTTCCCTGCGTCTAAGTTGGAAGAGCTCAGGAACAACGTCGCTAGTATAGAAGCATTAGACCGACCTACGCGGGTCGAGAGTGTCACTGCGCTTATTTGGAAATGCTTTGCCTCAAATAAAAGTACTTGTGATCACAAAGTGCTGATCCAGCTAGCTAACTTGCGCTCCAAGATACCTTCCCTTCAAGAAAGCTTGATTGGGAATATCATGTTCTCTTCTGTGGTCTTGAGTATTGGTCGAGAAGAGGAAGTTAAACTTGAAGAGGCTCTTAGGGACTTACGGAAGAAAAAGGAAGAGTTAGGAATTGTGATCCAAGACGCGGACAGGTCATCTGACTCATCTTCCATGGCCGGTTCTAAAATAGCAAATCTGATGCTCACTAAATACTCGCAGTTGAGCTATGAGACTCACGAACCTTACACAGTGAGTAGCTGGTGCAAGCTACCACTTTACGAGGCCAGCTTTGGATGGGGATGTCCGGTTTGGGTTGTCGGAAATGTGGCCCCTGCATTTGGCAACTTGGCCATTCTAATAGATTCCAAGGATGGACAAGGGATTGAAGCATTTGTGACCCTGCCTGAAGAGAACATGTTGGCCTTTGAGCAGAACCAAGAACTACTCGCTTTCGCTTCCCTGAATCCTACTGTCTTGGTTTGAATCATGCAATATAATTTGCTGTTCCATGAATAAAAAGTTGGATACATTGAGTTGAATCAAATCGTTGTCTTCAGGATGTAATACAAGAAATGTAACCTATTGGAAAATAAATGAATGTTTCATTTCCCTGAACATAATTCCTCCGGTGGTATTAAGTAAATTACCATACATTTACAAATATAATGATATACTAAACACTAATTTGTTTATATTTTAAAGTTTATTATACTACTAAATTCATTTAACATTTTTGATACATTTTTTGTCCTTCAGCTCTCGTGTGAATTCTCCAATCCAAATTAGTATTTTTTCCTTTTCTTTTTTCTTTCTCTCAGTAACATTGTTTATTCATCTTTTATGCATAACTCAAAATGTTTTTTTCTGAATAATCAAGCCAAAATTTACAAAGTATAAACAATGGACAAATTCGATTAAAAGTTTAAAACAGTCGAGATATCATCATCACTATAGCTTGTCATATACCATAAGTCAACTTTTTGAATTCAGTGAAAGAGGGAAGACAGAAGCAAACTAAACACGTGGCTCTAAGCTAGTTCAGTTCATTAATTTGTGTAAGCGTTACCAATTTTGAGTTTTCCACCTTGTGCAGAACGACACCCATTAAATTGTCGTTTATCTTACCTCATATGTTTTTTCACTTTCCCAAGTTCCACTTTGCAATGCAAACTTAACCTATAGGTTTCACCAAACCCCGGAATTTGAGCACAAACTAGGCATGTAAGCGGTGGCTCGGAGGCCGGAGCTACTATCATATTTAGAACCGGATTTGAGCATAGACCAAGGAAGCGATCGCTAGGACTACTTTCATGTAAAGCCATATTTGATACGTATTCCCTTTTTTGACTACTGTTACGTGTCAAAATTTTATTTTCAATTATTATTCTATTTCCTCAATTCGTAATATTATATCAAAATTTCCTTCTTTATCTCAAGTAATTTATTTTTCATTTGTTAAATTTCAAACTATCACACACTTTAACTAACAAAAAAAACTAGAGTTCATAAGAGCATCATGGGAGCCCTTATATATGCAAGGCTTGAAGAAGAGGATCTAGTGGTGCATGTATCCATGGACCAGTGATCAGAGCAAAAACTAAAAAACTTAAACATGCACTACTTCACGACCTAAATTAAAGGATTATGAACAAAGAGAGAATTCAAAAGTCTACTAAATATGATTTCTACCAATTCCAACAAGTCCATAATAAGTGACTCATATCATAGTTTAGAAATGTGATGAAAATAAAGATAATGAGTCCTCATTTTACTTTTTACTTTTCTTTACGGACAATTTTTTCTCTCCGTAAATGACAAAGACGTCTCGTTTAGTGGTTTGTACTAATTGTCAGTTTGTCACCACCCGGGTTCATCAAGTTCGTATAATGCATGTTCTTAGAAAAAGAAAGTACCCTAGCTAGTAACCACCTAATTAATGTTTTATTACAAAACCTAACTAATCCAGCCAACTTATTAGCCTAACTAATCTAACCACACCTAGCTATTCTTAGATTTACCTAACTAAATTAGAGAGATAGAGTAGGCTGGTCAAAAACCATAACGATTCACTTGTTTCCATTAAGAATGAGTTAATTAAGTATACGACTTATTTTATTGATTCACTCTTTCCCTTAAGCCTAAGCTAATTGAATCAATATATGACTTAACTAATTGCTGGTAATTGCTATCTACTCTAATTTAGTTAGTTAGATCTGTAAATGTATATTGTTGTGGCATTTGAAATGTATACAAAACATATATTCTCTATCCTATTCGGATTCCATAAATTAAACTAATATGTGCTTAAAATCAGCATAATTAACTAATCCAATTTTTTTTTCCAAATCGTTAAAGTAAGTGTTGATTCTTGTACAACCAAGATATCAGATGTTTATATGTAAGAAGAGTACTTACACGTTGTTACTAATCCACATAAAACTTTATTTTCTTCGATAGCCAATATAGATAGAAATCGAATCCCTCCCAATAATATTACAACAAAGAAATGAAGATTTAATTTTGATTTTTTCATGTAAGATACAGTTTCTAATTAAATACCCAACCTTATAAATATAAATAACTTAGAAATTAAAAAGGTTTTCTGGATGCATTCTCTCAAAGTTCCGAAATCTATTACGTACAGAATTATATACTCAACGAGATCTAAAATCTGAGTATTTGAAAGAAGATAAAATATTATTACGTGCACAAGAAGTTAACAGTTTCTATTATTTCTTTACTAGATAGTTTATATTATATGATTTTAATGCAAAATTTCAACCAGACAAATATTAGTTAAAATGCAACCCAAGCTAGGTTCAGTTCTCTATATTAGTGTGTATATATATACTTTGTCAGCACACTAGTACACATCATATAAACACACATTCATATCCATAAACATCAAGAAAGCTCACAAGTCACAAGAAAGCTCCTCCGATGGCGGATTCAAGTTCTTCTCTCCTTCCTCTTTGCGAAAAGATCTCACACAAAAGCTATGTTTTGAGAACTGTGGATCTCACGATTCTCGGCCTTCTCTTTTCTCTTCTCTCATATAGAATCTTACATATGAGCCAATACGACAATGCTTGGCTTGTGGCTTTCCTCTGTGAATCTATTTTCTTATTCATATGGCTGATTATTATCTGCGTAAAATGGAGTCCTGCTGAAGATAAACCCTATCCAAATAGACTTGCTGAAAGGTACTATCCAAATATACCATTTTACTTACACACAATAACGAACATTTTCTTAATAAGCGTGAAAAACCTTAGACTACAACTAGCTAATTTAACACGAATGAAAAATTAATTTTTATATAGTTCTTATTAAATTTATATAAAGTCTTAATTAACTTGCTTCTAGCTCTTAAGTCATTTAAAGTGATTTAACTTAAGATACAAGAAACATCATTTATTTGTATTTAATCTTGCTTTTTCTTTTCTAAAACTCCCTACAAAACTTTCAAATTTCAGGGTTCATGATCATGATCTTCCTTTAGTAGATATGTTCGTTCCCACGGCAGATCCGGTTAGGGAGCCGCCAATTATTGTTGTGAACACTGTGCTTTCGCTGTTAGCTCTGGACTATCCACCAAATAAACTAGCATGCTATGTCTCGGACGATGGATGCTCACCTCTCACTTTCTTCTCTCTTAGGGAAGCTTCTAAGTTCGCCAAGATTTGGGTTCCCTTCTGCAAGAAATATAACGTTAGAGTTAGAGCTCCTTTTAGATATTTCTTGAACCCTTTGGATTTAACAGATGATTCAGTATTCATTAAAGATTGGGAAATGACGAAGGTAACATATATAAGTTCATTTGATCAGTACTGATAAGTTCGCCAATATGATGTTTTCATGTTTTTTTTTTGTATTAATATAAAGAGAGAGTACGAGAAGTTATGCCGAAAAGTTGAAGATGCTACCGGAGATTCCCACTGGTTGGAGGATGCAAATGATGATTTTGAAGCTTTCTCAAACGCAAAACCAAATGATCATTCAACAATAGTTAAGGTATTGTTATATTTAACAAAACTATATATTCAAAGTTTCTTCTCTTAACAAATCTCTGTTTAGCACATATTATAAGGTTTCATTATAATGATTATTGAAATCTTGTTTTATGTGTCTATGTGAAGGTGGTATGGGAGAACAAGGCAGGTGTGGGAGACGAGAAAGAAGTCCCTCATCTTGTATACGTTTCAAGAGAGAAAAGACCAAATTGTCTTCATCATTACAAAACTGGAGCCATGAACTATCTGGTTAATGTTTTATCTCAAACAACTTATCTCAAAGTATATAAGTTTTGCTTATCTTTTTAATCCGCCAATAACTATTCTGAAATTAAATATGATGATTACAAGATAAGTGATTCGATACATAAAGATTTATACGTTCTTTCAAGTAAGGTAAAAATAGTAAAATATTATGAAGAAAAAGTAAAATACTAAACTTTCTCAACTTTAAATTGAAATCCATATTACGTTTTTTCTATATAATCAAAATGTTATGAGCCTAAGATTTGAACAGTTGAGAGTGTCAGGGTTAATGACGAATGCACCATACATGTTGAACGTAGACTGTGACATGTATGCCAATGAAGCAGATGTGGTGCGACAAGCAATGTGTGTATTTTTACAAGACTCAAAGCAATCAAACCACCATTGTGCTTTTGTTCAATTCCCTCAAGAGTTCTATAATGCTTACACCATCGAACTCTCATTCCTACAATCAGTGCGATATCTCACCATTCTTTTACATTTTTTTACTTAAGACTTTTGTTGTCATTTATCAACCAAACCGATACTTACTCTCATGTTTTATGCGTTGAAATTAGTATATAGGACGAGGAATCGCGGGTATCCAAGGACCGATATATTGTGGCTCAGGATGCTTCCACACTAGAAGAGTTATGTATGGTTTATCAACGGACGATTTAGAGGACAACGGAAGTCTTTCTTTAGTTGCTACAAGTAAGTATATTAAAAAGCACGTATACGAGATTTTCATATATTCCTCGGCGACATTATTTGAAATATTTTAAATCATCGTTTAATGTATTAAGTTTTTCATAATCACTCTAAGACTCATAACTATACATTGTTTTGGGTGAAAAAAGTTTAGAAGATAAATTGCAAAAAGGGGAGCTAGGCAAAACCCTTCAACGTACTGATAAGTGATAACACTACAACCACAATTACTAATGAGTGTGGTATTGTTCTGAAGGTGGAGGATTTGAATCTCTCATCTTATAATTTACTCTTTAAAAATAGCTGACCTTAATTGGAAAAAGAAGTTTAAGGAGATAACAAAATGATACACACCCTTTATCACCTTAATATTTTCACTATTGTAGAAACATTCCTATATATGTTTTATCATTTATATAACATATAACAATTCATCATAACTTTGCTATTAATAATTGGTATCCTTATTTCATTAAGGAGAGTTTTTGGCTGAGGAAAGTTTAGTGAGGAAATACGGGAGCTCTAAAGAGCTGGTGAAATCGGTGGTGCATGCATTACAAAGAAAATCAAATCCTCAAAGTAACCTTACAAACTTCATTGAAGCAGCTCAAGAAGTGGGACATTGTCACTACGAGAACCAAACCAGTTGGGGAAACGTATATATTCTCAATCTAGTCGCTTCATTCTAAAACCAAACATTTCAAGAAATATTAACGAATAGCGAGTTTTTTTCTTGAATTTATGAACGTTTTGCCCATATATAGTAATAAGTTCTTTTATATAAAATCGTGCAGCTTGGTTGGTTATATGGTTCAGTGGGCGACGATACAAACACGAGTATTGGTATCCATATGAGAGGTTGGACTAGCTCATTCGTTTCTCCGAACCCACCAGCGTTTCTTGGATCAATGCCGTCCGTAGGACTAGAGACAATAGTCCAACAGCGACGCTGGGCGACGGGAGTGGCCGAAATCCTTTTTAACAAACAAAGTCCGTTCATCGGTTTTCGCCGGAAAATAAAATTCCGACAACGATTAGCTTATTTCTTTGTTCTCGTGAGTCTACGTTCAATCCCTGAGCTCATTTATTCTGTCTTGCCTGCTTATTGCTTACTCCACAACTCTACCTTATTTCCCAAGGTGTCTATCTTTCTCTAAATATAGTTTACTTTATTTTCATATAATTAATTAGAAAGAAAAAAAAAACTGTTTTTGTTTTGCTAACCGTTTAATATTTTCTTGTATCATCTTTCGTGTGGTTTTAGGGACCTTGTCTAGGCATAACAGTCACACTTGTGGGGATGTATTGTCAGTACAGTCTATGGCAATTCATGAGGCTTGGTTTTTCGTTACAATCATGGTATGTCTCCCAATCACTTTGGAGAATAGTAGCCACTAGCAGTTGGTTATTTAGCATCCAAGATATCATACTCAAGCTTCTTGGAATCTCAAAGATAGGTTTTGTAATCGCTAAAAAGACTATGCCCGATACAAAACAAGTATATGATGAGTCTAAACCATCTCAAGGAGAAGATGATGTTCCAAAATCAGACTTTGGTAAATTTGAATTTGATAGCTCGTCTCTTTTCATTCCCGGCACATTTATTATCTTGGTGAATCTTGCCGCTCTAGCTGAGTTTTTGGTTCGTCTACTATGGTCGAGTGGTCGTCATGGAAGAGATGGTTCGGGTTTTATAGAGGCTTGTGGATGTGTTATGGTGGTTTTGTTGTTCTTTCCATTTCTAAAGGGTTTGTTTGAGCATGGAAAATATGGTATCCCATTGTCTACAATTTCTAAAGCTGCCTTTTTAACAGTTTTATTTGTTGTTCTCTCGTTGGGAGAGTAGTGTTGCGGCGATATGGGGTTGTTAGTCGTAAAACTAAGTTAACTTGATCATGTGAAAATAAGAAGCACTTGATCATGTAATTTTCTTTATTTGATAATATAGCAAAAAGAATGTACTAGAGCTTTAGAATGCAAAAATATTTAAAATTTAATATTATCCAAACAGTTGTACTAATCAGATTCGTAAAGATGATGACTAGCACAAAAAGATGCTTTGTGTATCGTTAGATCCATTCCATACTATGGATGACTAATATTATTGGACAGTTAGACAATTCCAACTTCCAACTCCACCCTTCTAAACTCTCGGTCCCAAGCAAAGAGCAAACCCCATAAGTCAACCTTGGGAACAGAGCAACCAGTGCTCGTCTCGGATGACCCCCCAACCGCAGCTAATCTCGGGTTACCACAAGACGCACCATCTGCCGAGACTATCCTCAACAGTTAACCCTTCCAACAACTGGCTTCTTTCACTTGACCATCCTCACCCCTCGGTTAAAATGTTGTATCCAAATAACTTTTTATATATACACTAGATGATTACCACTGTCCACAGAGATTTATTAATATTTATAATTTTTTGATCTAAAATTTAGTCATTATCATGGTTGCTACGAAATTTGTGCTCATATAGTATTAGTGATAGGATATTTCTTTTCATGAAATTTTCTTATCTATACTGTATTTCAAATCTTTTACGGATTAACATAAAATTTAAAACTTAACTACATTACAAACCCAGTTGCAATAACATGGGTAGCTAGCAACCAATAATACATAATAAACACTTGGACGTTGGAACTCAGTCACCGTATCTCATATATAGTCAACGTCCCTAACCCAAATTAAGCAACATTTTTGGTAACGTCTTGAATAAACTTTTGCAAAGCGACATGCGAAGATCCACCGTCCGTTAACGCCACACGACACTTCTCAGCCATCTCCGTCACGTTCTTCCTGACATCACTATCCTGCTCCATCACAATCCTGATCGCTCTCTCTATATCCTCCGCCTCAACTATCTCCATCTCTCCTATCATCAAATCTCCTTTAAAGTACCTCCGTATCTCCACAGCCAGTCCTAGCTCCTCCACCATCTCGAACGCGTTAACCTTCTGCTCCGCGTAGAGAGGCCATGCCACCATTGGGACACCGAACCACAAGCTCTCTAGCATTGAGTTCCACCCGCAGTGAGTGACAAACCCTCCTATCGCCGGTTTCGCTAGGACCGCCACTTGTGGTGCCCATCCTATCACTTTCCCTCTATCTAATGTCCTGTCCAAGAACCCTTCCGGAAGAACCTTCTCCAAATCTGTGAAATCTCCGGGACGCTCCGTCCTTATATCCAGAGATGCACGACGTAGTGACCAAAGAAACCTGTGACCACTTAGTTCTAGCGCTACAGCTAACTCTCTAGTTTGTTCCTCAGTGAAGCCTCCCATGCTACCGAAACAGAGAAACAAAACCGATTTATCCGGTTGCTCATCGAGCCACCGCAACATCTCCGATCCCTTCTCCTCCTCATCAGAACCGTTTTCAAGATTCAACACTGGTCCAACCGGATAAACTTGAGGAAGATCACAACTAGTGAACATTTTCAAAGCTTGAGGCTCCAGCTCAGCAACAGTATTTACCAAAATACCCTTCATTTTCCGAAACGATCTAGCTAGAGTGTAAAAAAAAGGTGACCACTCCTTTGCTCTGAGGATATGAGGGAGACACTTCACAGGATAAGGACGAGTCAAACACGGAAACACCAACTCCTCCACGGACTCATCCAAATCACTGACGTCATACTTCTTCTCATCGTACATTTGTTGAACGTGAAGCATGATTCCAAGAAACGTAGCGTTCGATGTGTAGACCATATAACACGGGACTCCGAATTCTTCAGCTAAATCGATCATCGAGGAACAGAACATGTCAACAACGAATCCTTCGAGCTTTCTTGTTGGATCTTGGATGATGCTCGCGACTGAGTCTCTCACTTTAGACTTTTGTCTCTCTATGTAGACTTGACTCGGCTCTAGATCAGCCGTTGGTTGTTGTTTCACGACGGAGATGGATTCGTAACGGAGACGATCTTGTGACGTTAGGGATGAGATATAGGCTGTTACATCTCCGGCGTCGTTTCTAGGAGGGATGATGATTAAAGTGATTGAGAGACGATCGTCTCTGGTGATGAGTTGTTTAGCTAGCTTCACGGTTGGCCGGAGATGGCCAATTCCCGGCGAAGGTATGAACACGAGTTCGATCTTCGTCATTGCTTTTTGCTTTTTGGACTTTTTCGATATGAGTCAAGTAAAGGTGTATTTTATACTAAAAGTGGAGTTGTTTGTTGGGTCACGTAAGCAACAGGCCCATTAATAATTACTGGGCCAAGAAGACGTTTTTTTTCTTTTTTGTTCACCATCCTAGAAGACCTTAAAAGATATAGAGGTAGCCAGCCGCCGAAGTAAAACCCTAATTCTCAGATGAGTTTCTTTGTGTCTGTGTGAGTATTTATATGGTTTATAGTGAGATTAGTGTTCTTCAAATCATAGGATGTTTCTCTCTTCTTCTTCGTGTCACTGTTTGATATATTTTTTGCTTTTAAGGGTTTTGTGAAATGATTTTGTGATGCTTTGTATGGTTGTGGAAGGGGGTATATGATATGGTGATGATACAAGTGTAATATGTGGACTAGAGTTTCAGATCTGGGATTCTTCTCCCAGTAGTTGAAGATTAACCCTTGGCTGTCTGAGTATCATCAACCCCTTTTACTCAAAATCTTATCTTTTCAATCGATTTGAAGAAAGTTTCTGTTTTTTTTTCTGAGGGTTTGGTTTGGAACTTTGGATTGATGTGTTTCTTCTTGTTGTTATAAAAAAAGAGCTGATGATGATAAAAAACAAATATCTTAGCGGATTTCAGTGAGATTCTTTGAATCAATGATCTGACTTTGTTACACACACTGAAGCTTTCTTCTTTCTCAATGTTTTTTGGTTTTGGTTGGATTGTTGTTTTGTGTTTTGATGATGATGATGAAAATGCAATGATGAGAAGAAAGCACGAAGAGTGTGAGAAGAGCAGTGGGTTATACCGTGAGCTCTCCAACTTAAACGACTTCTCCTTCCACTGAGCATTTTTGTTTTACCCAATTGATTCAAGTGTTTATGTTTTGTGGGCGTCCATTACCAATTCTGAGGGATAAACACAATTCCTTCAGGTATAATGGCTTGTGACGCAATAGTAATTTAGTCGTGGTATATCCTGATCTTCTTGCTTTTTTCTCTATGCCTTTTGATCCTGGAAATGCCTCGTATATTCATTCATATCATTAACAATTCGGTTTTTGTTCTTTTGTTTACTCTGTTGAATTCTTGATCTAACTTCAATTGACAACAGTTTATAAACTGTGATATGGCTACTCCAACCACTTTGCTAATGCAAGAGTTCATTAGTGATGAACATTATCATTGTGGTTGCCTGGGGAGTAAAACAATGGAGTAGTGACCCAAAAGAGTCTGAGATTCATTAGACAGACCACTGTGTTACCTGGATCATTCCTTGATTAAAACATTTCGTTGAGAACTTGCGAAGTTGAACCAATCTGAACTATCGTAAATTTAATTCTTTGAACTAATCTAAGTGAATGTTCATAGCCTTTCAGATCTGAATATAACAGCACTACTATCATATAGCCTCAGAGCTTTGTCACTAGCTTACTTAACGTCAATATGTGTTCATAAAATTTTGCAACCGATTAACAAAAACACATTTTGATCTAGTTTTTGTCGATAACTTTACTCGGAAAGGGTTGTAAGGTAATGAGCATTATGCAATACACAAACCACAACCACCGGTTAATAAAACGGGTATGGTATGCTCTAAACTCATTAGTCCAAAGTCCAAACCCACGTTAAACAAGCACTCGGAATAGCTTTGCTTCGAACTAGTCTTGTTTCTCGGATGTTTTGAACAAGATATTTACTCCTTGGATAAAGAAAACGTGTTCGAATGAATCTGTACGTAACTACGTCTACGTCACAGAAACATGTACACGTTTCTATTCTAGTCTTTCTAGAAACTTACTTGCTAGCCACACAAAGTAACTAAAGAATCAAACCTAAACTCCGAACTCTACGGTCAACCACATTAGGACAGCAAAATATCTAACGAACAAGAGAATCACACGTGATGAAGATACCCCCATGGACACCGCACACAATAAAAACAGAGCTAAACCTTCACTTCTCTCTTCTTTCTCAAAGACACTGGAACTCACTCACTCACACACCCTTGTAACGCTTCTATCTTTGAACCCTAACGCACAAACCATATTTTTCACTCGTTTATTGTTTCGAAAATTTAGTATTGATCCGTCTTTGAGAATCCACAATTTCTTAGTTTGTGAGTGCTTCTTTAACCTCCATCGGATCACATACACTCACAGACATAAAACAAACATGAACCAGTAATGTAACTGCGATGTTACGATCTAAATCCTATGTTTTATCTCATGATCTTTCTCTATGCTGCAGGATTTTTAGGGTGTGTCTGTCTTATAAGAAACATGGATGCTCAATGTGACTATTGCGGAACCGAAAAAGCATTAATCTACTGCAAATCTGATTCGGCTAGACTTTGCTTAAACTGTGATGTCAATGTACACTCAGCGAATCCTTTGTCTCAAAGACACACGCGGTCTTTCCTCTGCGAGAAATGCTTCTTGCAACCCACGGCAATCCACTGTCTGAATGAGAAGGTTTCTCTTTGCCAAGGATGTCAATGGAACGCAAGTAACTGCACTGGTTTAGGACACATACTTCAGAATCTTAACCCTTACTCAGGTTGTCCTTCTCCATCGGATTTCACCAAGGTCTGGTCTTCGAATTCAGAACCTTCTGTCTCAAATTGGGTTTCTCCATTTGATGATTGCACCAAAATAAATGAGTTAGTCGATTGGGATGGTTTATCTGCTTCCATGATTACACAAACTCAGAATCTCAAAGAAAATTCTATCCTTTTCATGGAATCTAATCTTCCTAAAGTGATAGAGGAGGTAACGTCTTGCTCAAGTAATTTGTCAAAATGTTCATTATCATAAAAAGAAGTAAAGAACACATTTATATCTCCTCTTCTATGCAGGAATGTTCTGGTTTAGATCTATGTGAAGGGATTAATTTAGATGATGCACCTTTGAATTTTAACGCAAGCAATTATATTATTGGATGTCCATCACCTGATCAAACCAAATGTTACAAGTACGAGGGTTCATCATATAAGGAAGATAATAATAACATTGACCTTTCTTCTCTGTTTCTTCCTGCCTTATCCGGTGGGAATGTTGTTCCGAGCATGTCGCTTTCGATGTCAAACATCACAAGAGAAAGCAGCACGACTGATTACCAAGATTGCGGTATATCCCCAGGGTTTCTGATCGGAGATTCGCCATGGGAATCGAGTGCTGAAGTCAGTTATAATCCAAAATCAAGAGATGAGGCTAAAAAGAGATACAAACAAAAGAAGTCAAAACGCATGTAAGTATCAGAAACAGAGTAAATGTTCATGCTATTGAGACTTAACCTCTAAGGTGATATTTGTGGTACATTTTTAGGTTTGGGAAGCAAATTAGATACGCATCACGCAAAGCCAGAGCCGATACGAGAAAACGAGTGAAAGGAAGATTTGTGAAAGCTGGAGAAAATTTTGAGTATGATCCATCACTAATTATGTGAACTAGTGATGCTTCTCTTCAAAGAAGTCTCAAGTAAAGAAAGAAAAAATCTCACTCCACCCAAGGGATTAACAGTTTCTTGTTGGAGAAGCAACACAGAAAAAAAGAAATCTCTCTTTTTTCAGAAAATCTACAAGATCAAACTAAAAAAAAAACCCTGGAATCACCACAAATGGTGATAACTGATAACATATGGAGACAAAAAAAAAAAATCTCAAAGTTTGCTCTTTCTTACTACAATATTTCCTCTGTTTTTTGATGCGACCAGAGATCTTACAGCGAGGAGAACGATCAGACCGAATCAAGAAACCAAACAAGAGCATCAAGAAACCCAAACAAGGTTATCAAGAAACAAAACAAGAGTCGTTGATTCTTTCTTACTAATTACAATTCTTTAACTAATTCTAATTCTTTAATTAATCTCAGTTAAAGTGTGTTTTGGACCACTTCATACTTTCCCATTTCACTTTGATTGTAATTTGTAACGTTGTATTTGTTTTCCTATTTAAGAAAAATAAAGGCAGATTATGTTTGCCATAGAAAGAGTCGTTCTTGATTTCGTAAAGCTTAGTAGCTTACTATTGTCTTTGTTATGGCTAAAGCAAGTTCTTAAGAAAAAGTGATTAAGAATTTAATTTTCCAACAATATTTTTTTTATAAGAATAAATATTACATAAATCCTATCAAGATTTAACCTTAATTACGAAGAAGAACAAAACAAAATCAGAGAAACACAAAGGGGACTTTGTGATCACTACTATCTTCTTCACCTCGTACCATCGTCCTTATCTCCGGTAAAACAACATTAAACTTATCTCCGACAAGACAACGACGAGTTAACTTCCGACAGCTCGAGCAGATCACGCTCCGGAGATGTCTCCGAGCAAGAAAATTAGCAGAATGGACCCATGTGTCACATTTCATACAAAGGAAAGCCGCATCTGCCTCACAATACACGGCTGCGTCCTTGCCGCAAAGCTCACAGCTCACCGGAGCTCTTGGACTCTCCGTGCAAAGTCTCTGGCATCCTCCTTCATCTCCTCTTCTCTCTTCTTCTTTAACGCCTTTGCACATCTTTTACTCCTCTCTTTGTGTTGAAGTCTTGAAGCTTTAGGTTTATTATATAGGAATGATTTGTTATTTAAAGCAAATGGATATTTTGTATTATGTCATTAAATAGGTTACACATGGACAAATATTGACCTATTGTTTCGATGTAACTTGGCCCTAGAGGACCAGACGATCTCTCGTCCTCATGTTTGGATACACAAGTTTCGAGTGGTTGACTAGTATGACTTATTCGGTTCACAAATCACATTCTAGAATGAATCATTGTACTTTTTATATGTGTGGTCTATATAGTAAGGGAGTTGTATATAAATAGTATCGAGTTTCATTAGATGAAGAAAAGATAAAGAGATAGAGAAAAGATTGAATAAGAAGTGGTAAAGTATGTCAACACGTAAATTATTGTCGTAATATTGTTTTAAACCATACATTGTTTTTATATGTTATTTTGCATTGCCAATTGCTATTTCTATATTCATGGCCGAAAAGAGTGGTTAGAGAATCAATAACACACTGATTACAATATAACATTAAATTATAGAATGTGGGACTATGTGAGCATTTAAGAAATTTTATGGTCTTTACGACTATGTAATTGGGTGTCTACTAGAGTCATTGTTTAGCCAATTTAGTATAACAATTAACTCTTTCTAAACAAAAAAAAACTAGGAACAAAGTAATCTACGATAATGGGTATATATACATATTAAATTCTGATATCAGCATGACTCAAAACTGTTATGTTGCCAAATAGCATATGTTTAATCTATCATTGAGGGTTAAATCAAAGATTTATAATCCGAAACTAATGATCAAGAGCAAATGAGCAAGTTATATTCTCCATTCAATTTGTTTTTGTAGTTTACCGTTTTTGTGATACTAATGACTTATTGAGTATAACACGTTTATATTTAAAGTATATATATATAGAATAATGAAAGGCAATTCAAAACAAAAATATTACTAAGAAAAATATTTATTTTAATATTCTTAAGTATGAATTCTTTTTTTGAAAATTATTTAATATAAGTCATACAATATATAATAAATTTGTTGTTGGTAAAATGTTTATTTGACAAGATCGTAACATTATGATTGAGACTAGTTATTGTGCACAAATTTAGAACAACTGAATCATCAACTACTAGTACAAAAAGATGTGTTGCATTGTAAATATTTACTTAAAAGGATGCAAAATAGTTGTATTACTATTTGAGCCACTTTACATAAATAATGGAAAACTATGATATATAACATGAACAAACATACAAACACTTGAAACATATTAATGATATCGTTCATGCTATGGAGAAAAACTCACGCATGGAAACATTACTATTATTGATTTCGGGAACAACACTATTTATAAAACATAAGAAAGATCAAGCTACTTTATTGGACACGTAAATAAACTTTTACAAATCTATGGTGGTTTTCTTCGCTCAGATTATCGCCATTGGCCAATTAACAATATCCCATGAAGATATCCTATGATGACCATCGTCGTTGGCTTGCCTCTGAGTATCTTGGTTATGAGTATCTTGGTTTACTAAGTAGTCTTCAACTCGTAATTAGAAACATATTCGAGGAAGATTAATTGAGAATGGGTGGTTATGTAGTCAACTTTTTCTAAACTTTATTACAAGTTTGCTACGTACAAGTTTGCTACATAAAAAAGGGAACTTCACTTACATAGTTGGATTGCATGGTTCACAAATAAAGTAAATTCTTTTTATTAAAAACGATGGAAATTTTTTTCTTTCCATTTATTGATTGTTTACATTCAATCTTTCATTTTGTTAAAAAATATTATAGTTGGATTTTCTCTCAAAACAGCATAAACATGTCAACTTTAACTTTTGGGTAATGGATCCAATTTTTTACCCAAATAATGATGGATAGAAACAAAAAAAAAAACTTAAAATTTGCATTAGCAACATCTCATAAGAATTTTTTTATCTATAAAAAAAAATTTAACATTAGCAAAAATGTGCATATGTTGTTTTCTCAATGGGAAAATAGTAAACCAACGTGGGTTTGTTAATAATAAAATCCGTTTCTTTTCTAGCCAACACATCGTTGGTGCACGTACGAACCACTTCTATATATGTTTGTATTCTTATAATTTATGTTTTTTTTCATATTAGTTAGAACTTAGAACACATCGTTGGTGCAAGAAGCCAAGAGTTTTGATATACGTGTGCGATTATGTGAAAAGATATTAGCTATAATGTTATCAATTTGAAGATCGACAAGTTAACCTCGATCAGTACGTCTCTAATAATTTGTTAAAGCAATCACGCTTGTAGCTTGGCGCCACTGCTAAAAGACTTGTGTAGCAATTACATAACTTCTTATTTTGATGAAGATCTTTTAAAGATGGAAACAAATGAAATGTTTAAGCAACATTCTTAACAATGTCTTGAATAAACTTTTGCAAAGCCACCTGCGAAGATCCATCGTCCCTTAACGCCACATGACATTTCTCCGCCATCTCCTTGGCTCTGTTCCTAACGTCACTGTCCTGTTCCATCACACGCCTAATGGCTTTCTCTATATCCTCCGCCTTAGCCGTCTCCATCTCTTTAGCGAACAAATCTACTTTCAAGTACTTACATATCTCCACAGCCAGTCCCAGCTCTTCCACCATCTCGAACGCGTTTACCTTCTGCTCTGCGTAGAGTGGCCATGCCACCATTGGGACACCGAACCATAAGCTCTCTAGTATCGAGTTCCACCCGCAGTGAGTGACGAATCCTCCTATCGCTGGTTTCGCTAGTACCGCCACTTGTGGTGCCCATCCAATCACTTTCCCTCTATCCAATGTCCGGTCCAAGAACCCCTCCGGAAGAACCATCTCCAAATCTGTGAAATCCCCGGGACGGTCAGTCATTATATTCGGAGATGCACGACGGAGAGACCAAAGAAACCGGTGACCACTTCGGTCTAACGACACAGCTATTTCTCTAGTTTGTTCCTCAGTGAAACCTCCCAAGCTACCAAAACAGAGAAACACAACAGATTTAGCCGGTTGCTCATCGAGCCACTGTAAGATCGCCGATGACTTCTCGTCCTTATCAGAACCGTTTTCAAGATCCAACACTGGTCCAACTGGATAAGCCTGAGGAAGATCATCATCACCAGTGAACATTTTCAGAGCGTGAGGTCCTAACTCAGCAACTGTGTTTACCAAGAAACCCTTCATCTCCCGGAACAACCTAGCTTGAGCTAGAGAGAGAGGTAACCACTCCTTCGAAGTGAGGATATGAGGAAGAGACTTCACAGGATAAGGACGAGTCAGAGACGGGAACTCCAACTCGTTGACCGAGTCATCCAACTCACTGACGTCATACTTGTTCTCATCGTACATTTGTTGAACGTGAAGCATGATTCCAAGAAACGTAGCGTTCGATGTGTACATCATATAACACGGAACTCCAAGTCCGTTAGCTACATCGACCATAGAGGAACAGAACATGTCCACCACGAATCCTCCGAGCTTTCTTGTTGGATCTTGGATTCTCAAGACCGCATCTCTCACTTTCTCCTTTTGTTTCTCGATGTAAACTTGAGCCGGATCCGGATCGGAGATTGGCAGCTGTTTCGCGACGGAGATTGGTTCGTAACGGAGGCGTCGATCTTGAGACGCTGTGATGAGGGATGCCATACATGCTGATGCATCACCAGCGTCGAATCTTGAAGGGATGAGGATTACGGTGATTGAAAGACGGTTATCGCTGCTGATAAGTTGCTTCGCCAGCTTCACCGTTGGCCGGAGATGACCAATCCCCGGCAATGGTATGAACACGAGCTCAATCTTCATCTCTTCTTTGATGGCTAGAGTCTGAATTAGTCAAGTAAAAACTATATAGTATACGTTTTATATTACCCTAGTGGGAATAATAAAATTCGAATGATAAACCCAACACAACTCCTAACCTTCGGGCTCATCTAGCAGGTCCGAAGTCGGATCCGAAATACCCGACCCGTAAACTCAAATGACCAGTCCAAAGTCTTTTTTATAAGATTCACTGAAAGGTGACGGCTTCGCTCTGCCACTTTCCGATAAACTTAACCGTCGTCGACTCTACGGTGAGGAAGAAGAAGAAAATTCAAAATCGAAACTCTGAAAATGAACCAGACGAGACGTAAGAGACGACCTGATCCATCTCTCTCTAGACTCGATTCCCTCTCGCCGGAAATGCTCTTTCCGGCCAAATCTCCGGCGTTAACTTCTTCCCGCATCAGAAACATCTTTTTATTACTCGTATTTTGTTTCATCATCTACATAATTTTCTCGTACGGAACTTTCCGGCGTGAGAAGATTTCATCGATCGCTAGATCCTTAACTGTGTTCTCCACTCGTCGCCGTCACTTACTCTTCTCGATCGCTGCTTCTCACGACTCTTGGCTCCGTCGTAGCTCATATGTTCGTCTCTGGTATACTCCTGAGTCTACACGCGCCGTCGTGTTTCTCGATCGTGGTGGATTTGAGTCCGATCTAACTCTTCCTCCTGTGGTTGTTTCTAAAGACGTTTCTAGGTTTCCTTATAATTTCCCTGGTGGTCTCCGATCAGCGATCCGTGTGGCTCGTGTTGTTAAAGAGACGGTGGATCAAGGAGATAAAGATGTGCGGTGGTTCGTTTTCGGTGATGATGATACTGTGTTCTTTGTAGATAATCTCGTGACGGTTTTGTCTAAGTATGATCACCGGAAGTGGTATTACGTCGGAAGTAATTCGGAGTTTTATGATCAGAATGTTAGGTATTCGTTTGATATGGCGTTTGGTGGAGGAGGATTCGCCATTAGTGTTTCGCTTGCGAAGGTTTTAGCTAAGGTTTTGGATTCTTGTTTGATGAGGTATTCACATATGTATGGAAGTGATTCTAGGATCTTCTCTTGCTTGGCTGAGCTTGGTGTTACATTAACTCATGAACCTGGATTTCATCAGGTAATAAAGGAATTGATTGATTGGTTTTGCTAAATTAGTTGCAACCATTTGGTATGATTGAGAATTTGAGACAGTGAAAAGCCTTGAATTGGAATTGAAAAGTTGATAGTTCACTGTGACATTGATGCTGATTGCTGAACAAGAAAAAATTTATGAGAGATTTCCATATTAGACAAGTTTAGTTCAGTGATGAAAGCGTTGGATTAGTTTTCTTATGTGGTTGGTATTGGATAATGTAGTTAGTATGTTCCTTTCTGTTGTAGTAATTTGTCGGATTACTATAATTGGCTTACCTTTCCATATTTGAGTTTTGCTGCTAGAGAGTTAATTTGAAAATTACTATATTTGTGCTCTTTTTCATAGATCGATGTAAGAGGAAACATATTTGGCCTGCTCTGTGCGCACCCTTTATCTCCATTGGTATCCCTTCATCACTTGGACGCAGTTGATCCGTTCTTTCCAAAGATGAACCGGACAGAATCTGTGGCTCGCCTTATTGGGGCTTCAAGTTTAGATTCCGGGAGGATTTTGCAGCAGAGTGTCTGTTATGATTCTTTGAACACAGTGACTGTTTCGGTTGTGTGGGGTTACGCGATTCAAGTTTATGAAGGTAATAAACTTCTCCCGGATCTTCTCACCCTGCAAAAGACATTTTCGACATGGAGGAGAGGGTCAGGGGTTCAAAGCAATTATATGTTCAGTACAAGGGATTATCCCAGGGATCCATGCGGGAGATCACTCGTCTTTTTCTTGGACAGTGTAGGATCAGATGGATCTGAGGGAACATGGAGTAACTATATTCTTCATAGAGTCGGAAACTGCCACAGAGCAGAAGCTGTTAAGCGTCTAGAACGCATCAAAGTTCTATCTCATAAGCTAGACCATGATACTCAACAGGTATAATTTATATTTTTTATCCCTTGCTTCTCAGTAAAATTACCTTCAGTTTGGCCCGGGTTAACATTTTTCTTTCCAGATGGTTTCTCCTCGTCGTCAATGTTGTGACATCTCATCGCCTTATAACAAATCAATGGTCATTAATATAAGACAATGCATGCCGGATGAGCTTATTGCCATGAACACTTAGCATTTTCTTGTGTTGGATATTCTCTTCTAGAATCAGCCAAAAAATGCCTGAGCAAGGTCTACGCTTCCTCTGCTACAAAACCAGTGGTGGAATCTGAGGTAAGCTTGTTGATGCCACAGTGTAAGACAACTCTGCTCGCAGCCTCGCATCAACCTTAATGCCCAATAGAACCCTAATGTTTTCCTTCTTGTAGCCTGTAGGTGGGTTAGCATATCTTCCTGACCAACTTCGAAAAGCGTCTCATAAAAGACTGAGTTTGACCACCTAGAAAACTTGCACGATTTTGCATTTTACACCAAAGGTTGCTTTTTTTTTTTGTTTGGTCTCTCCCTTTTTGTAAACAAGTGGATGGAGAAGACGAAAACTCAGATCCTTCTTGTGTATATGGTTTGTCTCATTCTCTATCTAAAGTTGTGAGTTTGTTAGTTATGTGAGAAAGTCGCTTGTAGGTTTTTTAAACCAATTTTGGAACCTATTTATTCTCTTTCTATGTACTTGTTTCTAAGAAAAAAAAAATCTCATTTGTAAATACCAAAACATTCTCCTTCATATGAAGATAACGAGGATTCACTTCTTTTGGAAATTGAGTTTGCCAATGAAAAATGCGAAAAGAGATGCCAAGAGAATGGGGAAGGCGATAAGAACGACAGCTACAAGAGCCAAAGAGTCATATTTATAGCCAAAATAACTTTCCAGGAAAGCTGAAACCTTCTTCTTCTCTCCAAAGGCTAATATCTCTTCCTCCATATCTCCATATTGCGATGTGAGCAATCCGTTCAAAACCCATGACGTAGGGCTCAAGTAATACATCCAAATCCACCATCTTGGAATGTTCTGCATCAAGAACAAGAACTCGAAAAATCTCATTAACAACAAGAATCGAAACTTTAGAGACTTGGTGAAGATATGTAAAAGAGGACTTACTGGTTTCGGCATGACATAACCAGCAAAGAGATTGACAATTGAGTAATAAGAAGAGCGGAGAGTAAAAGCAACGTGAACATTTGGGGTCACAACGACTAAAAGCATGCCGAAATAGTTGAAGGTGAGCAAGGAGCAGAAGATTGAGTAGAAGCTCCAAAACACTTTGTAGACCGACCAGTGATAGCCAACCATAGGATATACGAGTATTACATATACAATAGATTGGAAAAATGAGTATGGTATTTCAACCAACACCTGCAAAACTTAAGCCTCAAAGTCAATACCAACACAGTTTTTTCTCCTTCCTTTATGGTTTGATTGAGGAAGTGTTTTAACCTGAGCAAGGGAATACGACCATGAGTTGTACATACGGGAAAATCTTTCGCGGTAGAAGACATTTCGTTCGGTTGCAACGCAAAATAACACTGTTGAGCAATTGTTTATTCCAGAGAATAGAACCACCGTGAACATTGAGCCAAATACGTCAAAAAGATCTTGCTGATTGTTTCTGCAAAGAAGAGAGATCAACAAAGTTTGAATAACTAATCCTTTTGAGATTAAGGAAACACATGGGCGAGTGACGAACATTATCTTAGCTTTTTGCCAGAAAAGAATACCACAGAGCACAGAAGTAAGACACATGAAAATGATGCGAGTGAGATTGTAGGAAGGGTTTCTCCAATAAGAGAGATGTTGTTTCCAGAGGCATGCTTTGAATTGTTCCCAACCCGTTTGAGCATATCGTGAAGATGATATTAAACCTTCAGATCCCAAAGATGTACATCTCATTTGCTCAATTACCATTTTGTTCTCCCTAAAACAGAAAAAAAGAAAAGATGGTCACAGTTTCAGGCATACAAGATCCAAAGTGTAATTAAGTGATGATACTTGTTTATAGACTTACTTAAACAAACTTGATTCCTTGTACATCTGTGCGAAATCAACACCAAGTTTGTCTTCTGATGATTTAGAAGTAAGGTCTAGTATCCAAGTGGCTGGATTACAGTTCTCTTTCATTTTCGGAACTCCAGGAATGCTCTACAGTTGAAATTTCTTGTTCTAAATAAAGAATAAACCATACTTTATATGCTACAGTGTCACTATTAAACTGACCATAAAGTATTCAATAACTTTGCTTGAATGTTGTCCAAGAGGCCCACAATAGATAATCTTTCCTCCATTTTTCATCAGAATCAGCTGCAATTGAAAAGTCATATAATGTACTTCAAACAAAAGACTTTAAATGAGTAGAATGTTTTACAAATTTTACCTCATCAAATGCTTCAAAGATATCTATACTCGGCTGGTGAATCGTGCAAACAACAGTTCGTCCAGTCTCAGCGATGTTTTTCACAGCTCTCATTACAATTGCAGCAGCTCTTGCATCTAATCCTGTGGTAGGTTCATCCATAAATATGATTGAAGGATTGGAAACAAGCTCAACAGCTATTGTTAGTCTTTTGCGTTGTTCTGTTGTTAAACCGCTAATTCCAGCCATTCCTACTATGGAATCTTTAATCTCCTTGAGCTCTATCGTCTCAAGAACTTCATTGACTATTGCCTGAAAGCAAAGATAGAGTCAATACTCAGACAAAGAAGCTAAAAGAAAAATTATGTTTTCCCAATTAATGACTTACGCTCTTCATTTCTGAATTAATATTAGAAGGAAGTCGAAGCCAAGCAGAGTATTGCAGTGACTCTTGGACAGTTAAATTGGGAGAATGGATATCAAACTGTTCGCAATAACCTGAAACTCGTGCAAATGTTTCTTGAACCTTAAGGTAACCGCCTACTTCAATCTTTCCTATAATGTCACCACGGGTTTTCCTTCCCGAAAGAACATCAAGCAGAGTCGTTTTACCAGCCCCACTCACACCCATTAGAGCAGTGAGAACACCGGGCTGGAAGGCGCCTGAAACGTCAGAGAGAAGCTGCAGCTTTTTTCCCTTGGACAAAAATTATAGCCACACATTACAACTCTGACTTGTTTAAAAGGGTTCATGAAAATTTGCACTGCTCATGCATACTCTATAGTCTTTACCTGAGGAGTCTCAATGAAATATTGTACGTCTTGAAATGTGAAAGTTAGGGGCTTGAAAGGCAATGCATTTTTGAATTGGGAAGCAGTTTCAGAACTTGATTCATAATATTTTTCTGAGCTTTGAGTGTTCTTCTCACGAGAAACAATCACGCGAGACCTCAGCGAGGCTGAAGTTACAGGAAAAAAATGAGTCCTCATTACCTCATTAAGTCACATTTCTAATATATATATCTTGTGAACTTACTCTTTAGAAAGGTCAAGGCCAGTGCAAAAACAGTATTGAAGAAGAGTGTGAAGCCAATTAAAGCGCCAAATGCACTCCAGTAAGATTGATTACCAAAGTTCAACCCACGAGCATCTAGAACTTGTTCCCCCAAAGTTCTGTTTTCAGTTGTTGTCTAATGGTAATTAAAAAAAAAAGGATTGAAAAGGATCAATAATGAACAAAAAAAACTTAGCTATTAAAATGTGAAAGGCCTTCTGAAGAATTCTCTACCTTCCTCCACCGTGGAGCGAAAAATTCGTTTGCGGTTAAGCCAATCTCAGCATATGACAATGGAGAAAGCCAGAATCCCCACTCAAGCCAAGCAGGCATTGTGGCTGAAAAAATAACAGAGCACTATTACAATGTAACCTCCAAAGTCAGAGACTTGTTCTAATTCTAGTTCCAAGTAACAAACTTACATTTCCGAACAATGAAACCTCCGAATACTGAAAGAAGCATTACAGAAATTGTTCCAATGGTTGTGGAAACAACAAAATCTCGAAAGATGGCAGCTATAGCACGGAACATTGATATACATGTAAGGTGCAAAGCAAAGAAGATCAAGAACTGGCGGATGAACCTGAAGGAAGGAAAAAATAATTTGACTAAGCATAGAAATGTTTCTCAATGTTGGTTTGTTTTTGCAATCAACATTGAAAAACATATTCCAAACTAAAACTACCTTCCCATCTCAGGACTGTAACCAATGGCATAATATGTCAGAGATGTCCAGAGGAACGATTCAAGAAATGAAATCGGGATCTTTAAAATAGCGGAAGGGATTGCATAGGCCCAAGCTGGATAAAAGTATAGCTCTTTTTGCTTGCAGAACACGGCAATCCTCGAGATTGTCAACGTGAGTTCTGGAAGTCCATCAGAAAGAAGTTTAAAGAGAGAAAAGAATAAAGAACCCATAAGATAATTAGCGTGAGGAGCATCTCTTGTAGACCCAGTTCTTAAATATACAGTTATTGCAATGGATCCAATCAAAATTAGCTGCAGAAAGAGACACAGAAAAAGGTTTAGAATGTATTGGTATAAAAGAAAACAAGTAAAGCTTTTAGGCAAAGTAAACAGAACTCACAAGTCCAGATTTGAATACATAAACGAAAGAGTTACGTTTCATCAGAAGAAACTCTCTCCTTGAACAAGCTTTTAGCATCTCCCAGTTACTAAGTGAGTATTTTCTAAAGCACAGTGCATCCTTGTGAGTCTGAGACTTTTCACATATCTTGGAGAGTTCATCTTGTAGTTGTAATCCAAGATCAGACTTTTCAAATTTCTCAATAAATGAGTCAATGGAGACATAACAATATGGTTTGTCTCTGTGACACCAATACTGTTCTTGATCTTTCCTTGAAATAACCTGCATCAAAAGAGAGAGATGATTATCATCACAGTATCAAGACCAGATAGTATCATAACTATCATATTCATACCTCCTGAAGGAACTCAGCAACAGATTTCCTATTTGGACATTTAAATCCGCAATCCTCAAAGAATCCACAGACAAGTTCCCGTGGACCATGATAGATTATCTTTCCCTCTCCCATAAGTATCACATCGTCGAAAAGCTCAAACGTTTCTGGTGCAGGCTGAAGCAGTGAAACCAGTATGGTTCCTTCAGATAGACGTACAAACTGTTGGAGACATGACAGAATCTGGAATGAAGTTGAGCTATCCAAACCATTCGATATTTCATCCATGAACAGAGTCTTTATTGGACCTACGATCATCTCCCCTGCAATAGATTACAGATGTATATAACAAACATGAAATTTTGCTTGGAAGATGCTAAACCACTGTGTGAAAGTTAAAAGTACCTGTAGTTAATCTTCTCTTTTGGCCACCAGATATTCCTGGTCTTGAAGCATCTCCAACACGCGTATCTGCACAGATATTGAGTCCTAGGATCTAAAACACAGATGCATTAATCAAATTTTGATAAGAGTAAAAGCTAAAGAACGGAGTAGAAAAAGAACAGACACTGAAGGTATCATACCTTTAGGATATAGTCCGTTTGCAGATTAGTTTTTGAACCCTCAATTGAAACTGCCTGTCATGATAAAAAGTTGAATCCCAAAGATGTTTTCTTATATATCAAATCAAATCAAGTTACAAGTTATAGATAATTTTCATATTGAATATCCATAGTTACTTTACCTTCATGTATGCATCTATATCAGGATCTGGAACTATCCCTTTCAGTTTCTCCCTTCTACTAATCTCTGTAATCATTTCTGAATAAAAAAGGTTACAGTAGTTTTCAAGGTCAATAAAGTTATATCGATAGAAGACATAAGAATTCATTATTCCCTTACCTAAACAGCTTCCTGTGCCTTGAAAACATCCCGAAAAATCGAGTGTCTCTCTCACACTAAGCTCTGGAATATGCAGATCGTTTTGACTTACATAACATGATGTTTTCTCAGGAACAAACTCCGAGAATAGGTGACCGTTGTAACTAACTTCTCCTCTAGTCTGAAAGGTGAAAGCAACTCATAATGATTACTGATAAATAAACGAGCTTCAATGACAGAAAAGAAACCACACCTTTAAAGAAGGGTCGAGTCTTCCAGATAGTGCAAGTAGAAGAGTGGTTTTACCACAGCCAGGAGGACCAACCAACAGAGTCATTCTACAAGAAAACCCCTAGATGTTCTGAATTAAACCAATCACTCTTGAAAACAATACAAAAAATTTAAGGAAAAATTTCTGCTTCAAGAATCAACCTTTTAGGCCTTATGATGCCACTGACACCTTTCAAGATCTTCTTTTCTTGCTTTGAACACATGAATCTCTTCCAAAACCAACCATTACAAGGAAAAGTTGAATCTCAGAGAAGGAAATGAAAATAGAAAGACAAGTCAAAAGGAATTAAATGACTCTTACAGATAGTTTGCTTGCAATAGCATTCCAAAGAGTTGGGATTGGCTTTCCGTAAACAACTTCACACTCTGCTTCGACAAAAAGATCACTGAACCTCACTTCAATCGTTGGTAACTCGATACCAACGCTACAAAAAGATACATGGGACAATAGCATTTGAAATTCTATTATATAAGAACATATAAACACAAAAATTTTCTTATAAACAACGAGTACTCAAGACTAAATGAATGAAGAAAAAAAACAGAGATAAGTGTGACTTACTCGTCAATTCTCTTCCTTATTTTCTGCAATAAGCGAAGATTATCATTCTCAACATGTCTGATGAGCTCACCAATAAAGAGGTGTCGATCAAGATCCTCAAGTTTAGAAACATCCATGACTCGTCTCTCGCTTTTCTTCCCTTCTTCATCTCTTTTGCAGAACAAAACAGTAGTGATCCTTTCAAAAGTTGGTAATCTCTCAATACCAGCCCATTGAGACTGAAGCTCCCCATCTTCAAAAACATGTCTGTTTTCATTGTTCCCAGAAGCAAACTCAACTCCATCTGTTTGAGGCATAATCATTAATGGAAACCAAAGAGAGAGGAGGATATGTTATCCAAGTTAGAGAACTAAGTAGTATGCTTGCAAACAAATGATCACAACCAAGTGGCTTCTTAATGAGGACAGAAGTCAAAGGTCTTAATACGGAGTCCCCACACAACCACGAGGACGTTAGCAACTAAATAAAACAAATAAGAAAAAAAGAAACATTGCAGTTGCTTTCACGAGATTGACATGTCACGTACGTCAAACTGACATGTCACACCATACTATATTGAAGGAACAACCAAATGAAGCCGCCACTGAAGACTATATGTAAAGGAATCTGACTTTTTACTGCTGGAACTAATTCTGCAAGAAGGTTCTTACAGTGAATCACTTTATATCAAATCACCAAATTGCTGTGCGCTTCTTATATCAAAAAATGATTGCTCAGAATCAGCTTCCCACTGGCAGTGGCTTCCCACAGACAGTCATGATTCTACCAAACTACCCCTACCAGCTTTACTTGTTGTGAAGAGATCAAACCTGACCAAAGTTCAACAGATCAAAACAGCAAAGAACATCAAACCTGTAGTTTAGATAAGAATGATTCTACAATTCTGATACAAGCTTTGGGAATTCTTCAAAAGAAAAAACTCTCCTTCTCAGAGATCAAATCCTCTGTTTAGTACTAAGAACCTGTTAAATTTTAGTTGGACCAAGACTTTTGAGAATCAGAGCTTTGCAGATACTATCATCCAGCCACAATCCAAGTATGGGGATGATCAGGGCCATATGACATATATTATAATCAGCCAATTTTGTGACCGTACAGATTGTAAACCGTTAACCTAAGAGAAAACCGATGGTGAGAAAGAAAAGCCGATGGAGTCTAATTGAAGCAAGTAAAGTGAACTTCTATTATTATATATACAGAAAAGAAACTATTTCTTTTGGAAATTGAGTTTGCTCATGAAGAAGGCAAAAAGAGAAGCCACGATAATGGGATAAGCGATAAGAACTAATGCTACTACAGCCAATGAGTCATGTTTGTAACCGAAGTAATTCTCCAAAAAAGCTGAAACTGTTTTGTTTTCTCCAAATGCTGTTATCTCTGTGTCAACATCTCCATACTGCGAACTTAGTAATCCTTCCAACACCCATGATGTCGGACTCAGGTAATACATCCATATCCACCATTTTGGGATTTTCTGAGGAATACGATAAAAATGTTGTGTTCATGAGTCTGAAACTTCATTTCAATCCTTGGCACATACATTTCTTTCCATGCAATGTAGCAACAATTTTAGGTATGATAGACTTGACATAGCTATAAGCCTATTGGTTACTTAGGCAAAAAGTCTAGAAAGAACAGAGGTTCTATGACATATACTTCGGATCTTAACAGTGTGTTAAAAAAGACATGAGATAAGGGGGCTTACCTGTTTTGGCATGACGAAGCCAGCAAACAGATTTACCATGGAGAAAAATGACGAGCGTAGAGTCAATGCCATGTGAATGTTTGGCGTCAAAGCAACCATAAGCATTCCATAGTAGTTGAAGACGAGCAATGAGCAGAAAATGCTGTAGAAGCTCCAAAACAGTTTGTAAACTGACATCTGGTAGCCGATCATAGGATATATGATTGTCGTACATAGTAGAGACTGGAGTAGTGAGTATGGAATCTCAACTAGGACCTGCAAAACATTAAGTACTTGGATCATGAAGAGAGAAATTTGGCCACCAGTGGATGTCATCCTAGAAATTTATTGGCATCCAGTAAGAGTGGAAGCCTAAGTGATAAGCTATAAGAGCTATTTCTTAAAAGCTGACAAAACCCAAGTATTAATGCTTAACCTGAGAAAAAGAATACGCCCATGAGGAGTACATCCGAGCAAACCTTTCACGGTAGAAAACATTGCGTTCTGTTGCAATGAAGTTCATCACTGTGGCACAATTGTTTATTCCCGAGAAGATCACTAGAGTATACATTGAGCCAAATATGCTGAAGACATCTTGCTGATTGTTTCTGCAAAGTAAACGAAAATTCATATAAAAAACATAGTTTTCTTGATCTGTGAAATATTGGTGGTATTGATGGAGACTTATAAACATATAATATGAAACTTAGATTTTGTAGATTTAGTAAACTAAACGTTTTTGAAGACTGTTAGATTGCTAATCTGTGAGATTCAGGAAACAAAAGGCTTTTTGGGACCTGAACTATGAGATGTACTTCACCCATTGAAATAGGGAGGGAAAACTTACACATGTTTAGCTTTTTGCCAAAAGAGAGAGCCACATAGCGTAGAGTTAAGCAATATGAAGACTATGCGAGTGAGATTGTGGGAAGGGTTTCTCCAATACGAGCAATGCTGTTTCCAAAGACAAGCCTTTAGTTGTCCCCAACCTGTTTGTGAAAACCGTGAAGGAAAGCTCAAAGCTTCTGATCCTGGAGATGCAGAACTCAGTTGCTCAACCACCATTTTGTTCTGCCTGCAAAAAAAGACCGAACAACCACCACTGGGTCAATAGTTTTAACACAAAAATACAAACATTATGAGGATTTCTGCATAAGGACTCACTTGTACAGAGTTGAATCCTTGTATACTTGAGCAAAATCTATTCCATGTTTTTCTTCTGTAGATTTACTAGAAATATCTAACATCCAAGTGGCTGGATTGTAGTTCTTTTGGATCTTTGGAAGTCCAGGGATGCTCTGTCAATTTATAGTTTTCTAAAAGTTATCGTCTGAAGTCAAGAACCTTTTGCCGTGATTTATATAAAACAAGAAACCCAGCTGAGGTGCAAATAGTCTAGAATATAGTATAGTACAGAAATTGACCTCGAAATATTCAATCACTTTACTTGAATGTTGTCCAAGAGGACCATAGTAGATAAGCTGTCCCCCATTTTTCATCAGGATCAGCTGCAATCAAGGGAATTAGAAGCTGCCAGGGGTGTATGTGGTAAAATCAATGATTTCAACCTTTTTACCTCATCAAATGTCTCAAAGATATCTATGCTCGGCTGATGGATCGTGCAAACAACCGTTCTCCCAGTCTCAGCTACATTTTTCACAGCTCTCATAACAATGGCAGCAGCTCTTGCATCCAGCCCTGTGGTAGGTTCATCCATGAATATGATGGAAGGGTTAGCAACAAGCTCCACAGCTATAGTTAGCCTTTTGCGTTGTTCTGTAGATAAACCACTAATTCCAGGAAGTCCCACCATGGAATCTTTAATATCCTCAAGTTCAACTGTCTCAAGGACTTCATTGACGAGTTCCTGAGGCCAGGTCCAGAATATAGTCAGAATAAATTGCTGCCATTTTCTTGTTGAGAGTGTGATTACTTACGTTTTTGGTTTTTGAATCGATGTTATGAGGGAGTCGAAGCCACGCAGAATATTTCAAAGACTCTTCCACCGTTATACTCGGAGAGTGAAGATCAAACTGTTCACAGTAACCTGATACTCGTGCAAATGTTTCTTGAACCTTTGGATATCCGCTTACTTGGATCTCTCCTTTAATAATACCGCGGGTTTTTCTTCCAGAAAGTACATCAAGAAGAGTCGTTTTTCCAGCTCCACTGACACCCATCAAAGATGTGAGAACTCCAGGCTTCAATGCACCTGTAATATCAGAGAGAAGTTGCCGCGTCTTTCCCTACGAGGAACGTGCGTCACATGTTAAATTATGCTCTGTTTGTGACTTTAGTATCTCAAAACATTCATAATGATCTCAAACAATGTTTACCTGAGGAGTTTCAATATAATAATTCACATTTTGGAATGTGACAGTGAGGGGATTGAAAGGCAAGATAACTTTTCCTGTAAAATTAGACCAAAAGTGTGAAAACAAATCTATTGACAAGGGATTGCGGACACCTGACCTGTTAAAAAAAGAAATACCTGCTTTAGCTCGGGAAGTAACTTCAGGGCAAGGTTTAAATTCTTCTTCTGAGCGCTTAGAGTTCTTCCCATGAGAGACAATAGCACGGGATCTTTGTGGATCTTAATTTACAGAGAAAATCTTGTCAATAGTTAGTTGGAGAACACTTCATAAATTCATATGTTGTCATTTGTGGTGAACTTACTATTCCGATATGTCAAGGCCAGCACGTAGAGGGTATTGAAAAACAATACGAACCCTACTAAACCACCAAAAGCTGTCCAGTAAGGATGCCTACCAAAATTCAATCCACGGACATCTAACACTTGTTCCCCCGCCGTAGTGTTCCCAGAGATTAACTATATCAAATTATAAAGCGGAAAAGCAATCTAGAGTCACTAGAGTCACTAGAATTTTGTGAAAGTCTTCTGAAGACTATTACCTTGCTCCACCGTGGTGAGAAAAATTCATTTGTGGTTAGACCAATCTCAGCATATGAAAAGGGAGATAGCCAAAATCCCCATCCCAGCCAAGCAGGCATGGACGCTAAAAGATAAGGGTGTAAATAATATTACAGAACTGCATAACTTAATCAAAGAAAATTATAATTTCCAGGAAACTTACATCTTGGAATAACGAAGCCTCCAAATAACGCAAGAACCAATACCGAAATAGCTCCCGTGAGTGTGCAAGCAACAAATGTGCGAAATATTGCTGCTATAGCGCGAAACATTGACATACATGAAAGGTGGAATGTAAATAAGATAAGGAAGTGCCGGAAGAACCTGAAGGAAAGCAACAATTAACGTTAGAACTAGTTTACTCAATTGAATCTGGATTTATCGTTGCAGATATCTTTAAAAAAGTTATGACCTTCCAACTTCCGGGCTGTAACCAATGACATAGTATGTCAGTAATGTCCAAATGAATGAATCAAGAACTGATAGAGGTATCTTTAAGATAATTGAAGGAATTGCATATGCCCAAGCAGGATGGAAGTATAAATCTTTCTGTTTGCAGAACACTCCCAATCTGGAGATCGTCAAAGTAAGTTCTGGAAGCCCATCGGCAAGAAGTCTAAAGACAGCAGTGAACATAGAACCCATAAGATAATTCCCATGACGAGCATCCTTCGTAGCTCCAGCTTGTAGAAAAACGGTCATTGTGACTAACGCATTGAAAACTAACTGCATAAAGAAAAAAGTTAGCAGGCGATGGTAGATGATAAGGAATCCTTGGCAAAGTAAAGCAACGTACCAATCCAGATTTGAACAAGTAAATGAAAGAGTTCCGTTTCATCAGAAGATATTCTCTCCTCGAGCAAGCTTTAAGCATCTCCCATTTACCCAATGAGTATTTTCTAAAACATAGACCATCCTTGCGAGTCTGAGATTTGTCAAATGGCTTTGAGAGGTCTTCCTTTAGCAGCAACCCAAGATTTGATTCTTTAAACTTCTCAATGAATGAATCAATAGATATATAACTGTAGGGCTTGCTTCTTTCGCTCCAGTATTGTTCTTGATCTTTTCTAGACATAACCTGTAGCGGAAGCAGGTGAAGGAAAAAGTTTTCCATCAAATAAATTAGAAAATGATCAATTTTACTCTTATACCTCTTGGAGGAAGTCAGCAACACCTTTTCTCTCTGGACACTTCAATCCACAACCTTCAAAGAATCTGCAGATATCAGCTCGTGGAGCATGGTAAATTATCTTTCCTTCCCCCATAAGAATCACATCATCAAAGAGCTCAAACGTTTCTGGTGCAGGCTGAAGAAGTGAAATCAGTATGGTGGCTTCATTTATATGTGCCAACTGTTGGAGACATGACACTATCTGGAACGTAGTTGAGCTGTCCAAACCATTTGATATTTCATCCATGAACAGGGTAGTGGCTGGCCCCACAACTATTTCCCCTACAGTAGTCGATATACAAATCTTTAATATCTTTGATCAAACAACTTTGATTGGCTGTAAGAAAGTGTAAGTACCTGTTGTCAACCTCCTCTTTTGGCCACCAGATATTCCAGGTCTCGTAGCATCTCCAGCTCGTGTATCTGCACAGATATCCAGTCCCAGGATCTGAAATATAGATTCATGAAATTAAGTTAAATGAAGCATAGGAATGAACGGTCAGAAAATTAGAAACAACCCTGCAAGTGTCATACCTTTAGGATATAGTCAGTTTGCAAATTGTTTTTCAAACCTTCAACAGATATTGCCTGTTACAGCAAAGGTAAAGCAGAAATTGAGATTGCTTACGCCTTAATAGTGTTTCAAGAAAATTAGAACCTTTCATTAGCTACCTTCATGTAAGCATCTATATCAGGATCGGGAACGATATCTTGGACTTTCTCCCTTCTACTGATTTCTTTCATAATTTCTGTTGAATAAACCATAGCTTGCTAAAGTGAACTAAGTTCAATAGATCAAGACATCATTCATCTTGAATAAATATGAAAAATCTGGTCCTCACCCATACGGCTTCCTATGCCCTGACAACACGCTGAGAAGTCGAGCGTCTCTCTCACAGTCAGCTCTGGAATATGCAGATCATTTTGACTTATATAACTTGACGTTTTCTCTGCAATAAACTCTGAGAGTAAGCAACCATTGTAGCTTACTTCTCCTCCAACCTGTAAGGTGAAGACAAGCCTTGTGATCTCTAATATCTTATATGATGTTAGTTCAAGAGGCTTATGTTTTTACTTCTTTTGCCAAACCTTTACAGAACCGGAAAGTCTTCCAGAAAGTGCCTGTAGCAGAGTGGTTTTACCACAACCAGGAGGACCAAGCAACAACGTCATTCTGCAAGAAATCAAATATATCTTTTGAACTTGATAATAATAATTGCAAGAAAATAATTACTACACAAGATAGCCAATCACCCTTCGTTTTGAACGGCCATGCAACTAAAGGGAGAGTAGAGTTTAGCCTCTTGAATACTTTACCTTCCAGGCCTTATGATTCCGCTCACTCCTTTCAAGATGTCTATCTTGGTTTCTTTCTTTGAACAAATGAACCCCTGTAGCAACCATCAGGTTTTCAGTAAGCACACAGTCAAAAGACGTAGATAAAGAACATGGAAGGAAGCAAAACGCTATATACGCATAAAAATAAATTTGATAGTACTTACAGATAGTAAGCCCTTGACCGTATTCCAAAGAGTTGGGATAGGCTTTCCATGAATTACTTCGCATTGCGCTTCAACAGAAAGGTCACTGAACCTCACTTCCACCGTTGGTAACTCTATACCAACTCTACAATAACATGCCTTACACCGAATTAAAAGGTTGCTAAAAATGCAAACCAAAATTTATAAAAACTAATACAGCTCCAACGCAGCATATATGACACAAAAAACACTAATACCCAGGAACCAAAACAAAGATTATAAACATGGATTTTCGAGGCTTGCGGTTGCTTACTTGTCGATTCTCTTCTTTATTTTCCTGAGTAGATGGAGGTTATCAGCCTCGATTTGTTTGACGAGCTTTTCAATCAACAAGCGTCTCTCAGAAGCCTCAAGTTTAGTAATATCAATGACTCTCCCTTTATCTGACGACGCTTCATCTCTTGAGTGTAACAAAGCAGTAGTAACCCTTTTAAAAGTTGGTAACCTCTCAACAGTCGCCCACTGCGAACGAAGCTCAACACCATTTCCAGAAGCAAACTCAACTTCAAAGGACTTTTCCTTGTCGTCATCTTCACCTGTTTGAGCCATTATCACAAAAGAAAGGAGAAGACAAAAAACACCCAAAGGAACTTAACAACAGAGAGAAGAGCAAAACTTCACATGAAGAAGCTACTGAAGTCAGAGTCTTATATATATAGATAAAGATATAGACTTTAACAAAACTTACGCATACATTAATAACACGCGAGCTGCACGTGTGAATACGTGATCATCTCCATAGAATCCGGTCTTGTACAGAGAAAAGAACTGTTACAAATAAACTAATCTTGTTAAACGTTGAAAAATCTGGTGATTAAAGTAAGTGAATAGAATCAAAGACGAGATCTTTTAAGACAATAGTCAACTCACGATACAATGTCGGAACTGATTCCAACGATGTGCCAACGGACTCATACTTCCATATACAACTCATTGGCTTTCTCTGAGGCATTCCATCGAACACTTTGTCCGCATTTATCTTTAACAATGATGCGACTTCACCCAAATATCAGTTTTTTGCCCTGAGATTTCTGAAGATTATAATTTCTTTGCAGATCTCGAATCGAATATAATCGAATGAGAAGACAATGCACGGGTGAGATCACATGGATCATTTCTTTAACATCACGTCCTCTGGCAAAATATTTGATTTTCAATGTCAGAGATTTTAATGAGATTAGCTTGCATTGCAAGTTTACAGAGAATACAGAAGATGAACATTTTTTTTTGAGTGGGAAATCGAATCGTTGGCTGACGCGTTTATAGTTATATTCGCCGGCGCCGACAACAAATTGGGGTGACGCTACTTCTCAATTTTCAAAATTAGCTTTGTTTTTTCAGGTATTTTGAACTGGGCTTAGGCCCATTTACAATTTCTTACGAGTAGGGCTAAGTCTTTTCTTGACATAAAAGCTTTAATCAAGCCAAAAATAGGGTTTAGTTTAGACTGCCCATGCAAATTTAATGTAGGGTTTAGTTTCTTGGCATTAGGCCCATTTACAATACTCTAACGAGTAGGGCAAAGTCTTTTCTTGACATAGAAGCTTTAATCAAGCCATCTATAAAATAGGGTTTCCCTTAATTTAGACTGCAGATGCAAATTTAATGTAAGGTTCTGTTTCTTGGCTAAGAAACTTTCTACAAACACTATAACGATCGTAGGTCTCCTCTCTTCTCTTCCATTTAGAGTTTTGTAAGACTTATGCCAGAAGCAAAAGATGAATAAGCATGCACGTTCATGTAACTGTATATATTATTACTTGCTAATCAAAACGTTTGAACTCTTTAATTTGAATGTATACATGGAACCATCTTGCTAATAATTTGATGACAATTATAAATTTATGAACAACAGTATTTTCTATGTAATTTCAGTTCACACGTTATCATCAAGATAGATCACTGTACTCTAATCAATTTTTTTTCTCTCTTGATTTCCTTTAATTGGTTCAGTCGTCTTCATTTAGCTCGACTTATTAGTCTTTAATATACTACTAATTAACATCTTACCTAATACAATTAATATTCGAGGTGTAAGATACATCACTGAAGTTGAGACTGATTTATTAAGACAATCATCTATATATGAAATGAACGGTGATCAATTCGTGTAAACGTACACGTGCTTAAAACATTAAACACATATGAAGAACTTACTAGAAAGGACGGTGAACCAAAAGACAATCAATGTCGGAAAATGTATAAAAGCCAAAAGGATCTCAAGAAAATGACCAAAGAGGACAAAGAAGAAGCCAAACAAACAGAGGGCAATAAAGTCAATTCTTGAATCCTCCTCAAATGGACCGCTAGAAACAGAGCACCAGTCGTACGTTACACAAATCACAACCACTCGTTGAATATCTTCTGTTGCTATATAAAGGACCTCGTAGGTGAGCTTTCTTTGATGAGAGACAAGTGAGCTTCAACTACTACTAAGTACTGCTTAAGAGAGATATGGCTGCCAATTACAACGAGAAGCTTCTTCTCAATTATGTTCCCGTTTACGTTATGCTTCCGGTAACTCTCTTCATCGATCGCTGTTTTGAGTTTACATCATTTGGCTAATGTTTCTAGAGTTCTGACTATAAACCTTAGTTTCGTTTTATGTGTATGCAAATAAACATACTTTTCACCGATTAGCGCGCTTGGGCTAGTGGCGAAAGGCAAGGACCATTCAGATGTCGCGCTTTTTTCCCTCACTAGTCCGAGTGTTAGTTGAAAAGAATAAGCGACTATACGAGATCTGGATAGAAAGATGTATATGATTTGGCCTTGAACTTTTTGATTTATATATACAATGATAATTACATATTTCCTACTCATTTAGAATTTAATGGAAGAATACTATTTGAATGATAGTAACATATTTCCTACCATTCTTTAAAAATACAAAGAATGAGTGTTGGTCCAAAACTTCAATTTACGAATAAGAGGGAATTTATCAAACTCAATTCTGTGAGAGACATGATCATCATCATACATGTATGATTTAGTAATGATATATTTTCTAATTTTACCCATCTTTTCACACATTATAATATGGTAAAATTGGTAAACAAATGTGTTTGTTTATTTTGTTCGCTTTCAACAACTAATGTCTTGATGATCATAACTATTACATAACGCATTAACCTCTCATAATTGTTGTAAATGTGACAGTTGGGAGTGGTGAATGTGGAAAACGTAGTTACGGATCCAGAAACGCTTGAAACGCAGCTTAAACGTCTCAAAGAAGAAGCTGGCATTGATGGCGTGATGGTCGACGTTTGGTGGGGAATCATAGAATCAAAAGGTCCCAAACAATACGATTGGACCGCGTACAAAACGCTATTCCACCTAATCGCGCGTTTGGGACTCAAAATCCAAGCAATCATGTCCTTTCACCAATGTGGTGGAAACGTTGGTGACATTGTCACAATCCCTATCCCGAAATGGGTTCGTGATGTAGGAGATACCGACCCTGATATCTACTACACTAACCGTAAAGGAACTAGAGACATCGAGTATCTCTCTATCGGTGTCGATAATGTTCCTCTTTTCGCTGGAAGAACCGCTGTTCAGGTAGTAAAATCCCAAAAATGTCTGCATATATATTGCATGTTGTTGACAAAACTGGTTTAAGGTTTTTTTTATCATAGATGTATAGTGATTACATGAGTAGCTTTAAAGAAAACATGGCGGATTTGATAGAAGCTGGTGTGATTGTTGACATTGAAGTTGGACTTGGTCCTGCTGGTGAACTTCGTTATCCTTCTTACCCTCAGAGCCAAGGTTGGGTATTTCCAGGCATCGGAGAATTCCAGGTTAATTTTTGTAAGTTTTTCAGTCACATATATATATATTGCTTTTTACGACGTTGTAGCTTAAGAAACGGTGTTTTTGGTGATATTCTAGTGTTATGACAAGTACTTGAAGAAAGATTTCAAGGAAGCTGCGGCCAAAGCTGGCCACCCTGAGTGGGATTTGCCTGAGGACGCTGGAGAATACAATGACAAGCCGGAAGAAACTGGATTTTTCAAGAGGAATGGTACTTATGTGTCGGAGGAGGGGAAGTTTTTCTTGACGTGGTACTCGAACAAACTTATCTTTCATGGAGATCAGATCTTAGGAGAAGCAAACAAGATCTTTGCTGGACTGAAACTTAACTTGGCTGCCAAGGTATTACTATTATAATCGTGGAACTAGCTAGGGTAGGAAAAAAAAAACCTAATTGTTGAAAGAAACAAACTGAACAAACCAAAATGCTTGAGCTAAAACACTGACCTCAATTACTTTAAAAACCGGTTGGTTTCGATAACTAGGAAACCAAACTGTAAATGGTATCTCTAGAACAATTGTTGAAGTTAACCTGTCTTGCAAGGTAACAAGTAAAGGAGTCTAAATTGAGTATGTGAATGTGGTAGGTTTCTGGAATTCACTGGTTGTACAACCATCACAGCCATGCGGCAGAGTTAACTGCTGGATATTACAACCTTTTCAAGAGAGATGGTTACCGTCCTATCGCTCGAATGCTCTCAAAACACTACGGCATTCTCAACTTCACTTGCCTTGAGATGAAAGATACCGACAATACCGCTGAAGCCCTAAGTGCTCCTCAAGAACTTGTTCAAGAGGTAATCTAGTTAACTCACTGTATAAACAGAAGAGATTTGTTAAGTATATTAAAATGGTATTTCATTTGATATATATATATAGGTACTGAGCAAAGCATGGAAAGAAGGTATAGAAGTTGCGGGTGAGAACGCATTGGAGACGTATGGTGCCAAAGGTTACAACCAGATTCTTCTTAACGCTAGGCCTAATGGTATTAACCCGAACGGTAAACCAAAGCTGAGAATGTACGGATTTACTTACCTTCGTTTGTCCGATACGGTCTTTCAAGAAAACAACTTTGAGCTGTTCAAGAAGTTGGTGAAGAAAATGCACGCTGATCAAGTAAGACTTGAAACAAAACTGTTTCTTTTGTAGTATCTTCTTATGTAATACTTAACTTATATGGTTTTGGAATTAGGATTATTGTGGAGACGCAGCCAAGTACGGGCATGAGATAGTGCCGTTGAAACCGCATTCGCAGCTGAAGGTGGAGGATATCGCCGACGCGGCTCAGCCAAGTGGAGCATTTAAGTGGGACTCTGAAACCGACATGAAGGTCGACGGTTGATCCACTTAATCATCAGCTCCTCTGAAACAGCTATTTATATATGGTCGGTCGACTATTCTATGAAATGAAATGAGAATAAGACTATAAGAGGCGTTTGAGTCCTTTTTTATTAGTCAACTGCGAAAATAAAAACGCCGGTTATTACTTAATTAGTCGTCTGAGTCAGTGAGTTGTGTCGTGTGTTTTGGGTTGCCTGAAGAAATAAAACGATTTTCTATTTGTGAAATGTGAACTGTTTGTTATTTCTTGTAAAATTGTTCTGTAATAAAAAAATTATTGAGAGATACATTATAAGATAAATAGATAAGTCTTATTCCCTCTCCTAAAAGATTAATTTTCAAAGTTTTCCACATATGTTAAGAAAACATTTTAAAATTGATGATAATTGCATTATTTTTTTGTGATTTATTGTTTTCTAGAATTTTAAACCATTAATGTTTAGTTGTTTGCTTTGAAATTTGTATATCGTAATTAATAATGCATTAATAGCTTTAAACAATTATTTATTTGAAACAAAATTTATCTCCTAGAAAAATCATCTTTTACGACCGAAGGGAGTATATAATAAAGAACATAATTTTTCATTTTATTTATTTGTCAACATACTTAGCTACTACTTGATTACTTACCAAAAATAAAATAAATAAAAAGCTGTTTTGGAAACATATCTTTTTGATCAAATCTTAAAATTTTTATGGATTATATATAAATATAGATAGAAAGATTTAATCCAATAGAACAGCTTTAACAAACATATAAAATTGTCTTTCCCTTTCTGTTAACTACACAAGTCACATTGTCACAACATCTAAAAAAAGCTTTCCCATTTTAAAAGAAAACAATTCTTGAAACAGAGCTTCTCTTTCGTTTTTTATTTTAATTTCCAAAACTTTAGTTTTCCGTTTGTGGTTACGATTGTTCGGCGCCGTAGAAAAGCGTTCGGACAGGTTCGGAGCTTTTCTGCATGGCGGTTTTGCTTCCGGCGAACTACGACAACACGAAATCATCATCATCATCATCATCGTACGTGAACGTGAGATGAGAAACGCAATACAACGAAGTTGAATGGGGATATTGAGAACAGCGCTTTTGGCGATCTCTCTCGTTGTCTTTGTTTGTGTTTCCGAGGAGATTATCTCTCGAGACGTTGCATTAAATCAAAACTATGGCGACAATGTGGTAATGATTCATTCTCCTTATTCGTTGTTTTGCTCAATTTTGTATTTTGGAGTTTGTTTTTAGTTCTAGGTTTTCTTGAATTTCTTGTTTTTGGTTTTGACGTGTATCTCATTTCTGATAGGCAGAGCAAACATGGTGGATTCATCAAAATCCGGATTTGAAGACAGAGACATGTTATTGGCAATGGTTCAGCAATTTGTTTCTTGAGTCTCAAGGCGAGTCTACGACCTATCCAAGAAGGAAGCTGATTAGGAAGAAGAAAAAGTTTCGTGTATCTGCTCCAAACTTAGCTTCCGGTCCTACTCCAGGACCGGGTTTTGCGCCAGGACCTGCGCCGGGTTTGGCTCCAGGTCCTGCACCGAATCCTAGTAGTTATGATCTGGCTGCACCTGCAAGCGCTCCAACTCCAAATCAACCTTCAGCTTCACCAGCTGAGACACCTTATGAAGATTTGAGTCCTGGTCCGAGTGAGGAGGAACCGAGTGTTGTTGCTCCAAGTCAAAGTGTTCCTGGTCCTCCTCCTCTACCACGGGAGAAGAAAGATGATATCTTGATGAAACTTATCATCGCAGTTGCTTCAACTGCTGTGTTAACGTTTGTTCTTGTTGCATTGATGTTCTTGTGTTGCTTCAGACGCAATAGTAACAATGCGGTTGGTCATGGACCAAGAGATGAAGGACCACTTCTACATTTATCAACTGGTATGATAGTGTTTGCCACAAAGGAGTCATGTCTTTGTAAATTCATTTGACAAATGTAAACTCATCTTTTCAGGATCTACTGAGAACTCTCCCACCATTGCAAGCACGAGCAGGAGAATACTATTTGGTGCTGCTAGTTCTAAAAAGAGGTCGTTTCTTTCTAGAGTATCATTGAAGAGAAATGGTCATGAGTTTCCAAATGCTGATGCGTCGTCTTCCTCTGGACTCCCTCCACTGAAGCTTCCTCCTGGAAGATCAGCTCCACCTCCTGCTCCTGCTCCTGCTCCACCTCCACAGCCACCACCTCCTCCTCCTCCTAAACCTACGCCTCCTCCTCCACCGCCTAAAATTGCTCGTCCTCCACCAGCACCACCAAAAGGTGCGGCTCCAAAACGTCAAGGACATACTTCCTCTGGAGATGCGTCTGATGTTGATTCTGAGACGGGAGCTCCAAAGACAAAACTGAAGCCGTTCTTTTGGGATAAAATGGCTAACCCTGATCAGAAGATGGTTTGGCATGAGATTAGCGCCGGTTCATTCCAGTAAGGAGTTGAATTGTTGAATCATCTTGTAGTTCTTTAACATTGTTTTTCAAGCTTGGTTAACTTAACGTTCTGCTTTCAGGTTCAATGAAGAGATGATGGAGACTCTTTTTGGTTACAATGATGGGAACAAAAACAAAACTGGTCAGAGGAGTGATTCTTCTCGCGAGTCTCCTGTCCAATATATACAAATAATTGACACTAGGAAAGCTCAAAACTTATCTATTCTTCTTAGAGCTTTGAATGTAACAACAGAGGAAGTTGTTGATGCCATCAAAGAAGGTATAATTATCTCACCGTACCATTAAGTGGCGTATTCTTTGGTTTAGTAGTACTGAATGTTTCTTCTTGTGTATGTCATAACTCATAAGGTAATGAGCTCCCAGTAGAACTCCTACAAACATTGCTGAAGATGGCTCCAACTCAAGAAGAAGAACTCAAACTTAGACTATACACAGGAGATCTTCACCTACTTGGCCCAGCGGAGCGGTTCTTGAAGATTCTTGTGGACATACCTTTTGCATTCAAACGTATAGAATCACTTCTCTTCATGATCTCACTTCAAGAAGAAGTCTCTGGCCTTAAAGAATCTCTTGCAACTCTCGAGGTAACGTCAACTAACAAAGACCCTTAAAAAACAAGAATCTACCAATTCACTTATACAAATCTCTCTGTTTCTGTCTGTGTCTCAGGTTGCTTGCAAGAAACTCAGAAACAGCAGACTGTTCTTAAAACTACTAGAAGCAGTTCTCAAGACAGGAAACCGAATGAACGTAGGAACTTTCCGCGGTGATGCGCAGGCTTTTAAGCTCGACACTCTTTTAAAACTCTCTGACGTCAAAGGAACTGATGGCAAAACCACACTCTTACATTTCGTTGTTCTTGAGATCATTCGTTCTGAAGGTGTCCGAGCTCTCCGTCTCCAGAGATCAAGCCGAAGCTTCTCTAGCGTTAAAACAGACGATTCAGTATCAGATTCTAGCCCAAGATCAGTCGAGCGATACAGAAGCACGGGTCTTGAAGTGGTTACGGGGTTAACAACAGAGCTTGAAGATGTCAAGAGAGCAGCAATCATAGACGGTGATGCATTGGCTGCAACATTAACAAATATAAGCGGTTCACTTACGAATGCGAGAGAGTTCTTGAAATCTATGGACGAAGAGAGCGATTTCGAACGAGCATTAGCTGGATTTATAGAACGTGCAGATGCTGATATCAAATGGTTGAAAGAAGAAGAAGAGAGAATCATGGCATTGGTGAAAAGCTCAGCTGATTATTTCCATGGCAAATCTGCCAAGAACGAAGGGTTGAGACTGTTTGCTATAGTACGTGATTTCTTGATAATGTTGGAGAAAGTTTGCAGAGAAGTTAAAGAAACTACCAAGACTACAAACCGGTCGGGTAAGAAGGAAAATGATGCGTCAAGTTCGGACAGTAATCAACCGTCTCCGGACATTCGACAACGTTTGTTCCCGGCTATTGCTGAACGAAAAATGGATAGTTCAGATGATTCAGATGATGAGGAGGGTTAGTTCATCTTCTTAGTATTTTGATGAAGTTAACGCCGTTTTAGGTTTCCTTCACGCCGGGAAGAGATTGATCGCCGGAAACGTAGAAAACAAGAAAAGGAGGAAGCCGGAGTTTTATATGTTTGAAAAAGGGCGTGGATATGTAACTTCCGTTACATGAGAGTTTTTGAAGACCAAAGTTGTTTGATATTACTACGCTCTCTTGAAAATCTTATGTCGTATATTTGTATAATTATTTCTCTATTTGTTAACAAAAAGATAGATAAAACGTTTTTAGATGTCGATGGAAAACAAAATATGTTTGACAAGAACTCATTTGAGTATAAAACTTCAAATACCAATATACCATAAGCTAAGATTCTCCAAGATGATGAGAGTGAGATGTGGAGATGGTATGGAGCCAAAGCTTAACCTTCATCCCTTTCAAGTTTGGAGACTAAGACAGCGGCATTGCTTTGGGATACGCCTTGTATCGACTATCTATGAAAATTCCATCATCTTGGCCATATCAGGCTAAGTGAGAGATCAATGGCTTATCATGAATATGCTGATTGTATTTATTGGCTATCAGCAAAAACAAAAAGTTGTATACAAACTTTCAAAACATATTTCACCTTTGCTTTTTCCATTTCTTTTTTGGTGCCAATCTTTTATAGAATTAGGAACACGAACACATTAACTATTTTATTAATATAAGGTAACAAATAAAAAAGAAAGAAAAGACAACCTAATCAAATGAGTCTCCTCTGTGATAATTATGTGAGCCTAATCTACCGAGAATAACAATGGCCTAACCCAAAGTTACTATCAATTTCCAAAATCACATATATGGCAAAGCTATACACAAGAATGAAGGGAAAGCTAAGGACCTTTGCATGTTAATGGCTTTGGTCATGGATAAGAGACTATTTATAGTAACTGTGTGTTGTCCTCCATTGCTAGCTTTCCCAAAAGAGTAACCTGCTAAATTAAAGAGAAGTTTTTAACCTAACTATCCCATGTCGCTTGGAAGACCTGCCGTCTATTTCTCAGCCACTGCAACAGTTCTCTATCTAGTGATGAGCTATTAAGGACGGCATCAAACATCGGGCTTCCAAATACTCTCGGAGCGCTTTTGAACGTCCATATTTTATCCTTTGGCCAAGGTCTTTGTGGTTGCTTAGACTGTACAAACAGATAAAGTAACTATGTCATGGACAGTGAAAAGACAGATGAAACACATTTCAGAAGTGCGTTAAAGATAGAAATTACCATCTGTGAAACCATAGTTTTCACCGTCTTTGGGCCATAAACACGATGCTTCGATGGTTTCTGTGCCTTTGCATAGAAGGAAGCAACATCGGGTAAAGACAAGCAACCTCTGGTTGCTTTTACCAATGTAAGATCTGGATCAGTATTTGTCTGGTTGTACCAGTAAATTAGTTGCCCAAGACAATAATTCTCGCCATAAGTCTTCCTGTACTCCTTGATACTCTCACCTAACTTGTCAGCATACTTCGCCCCCAAATCTAACGGACTAATGTGTACAGGAGAAGAGATAAAGGACTTGTATTCCTGCGACATATCAAGATCCATCTGTTAGAAGAAGTTCAACAAGATTCATTCTTTAGTCACTCAAATTAAACGAAACCGACTTACCCGAACTTTGAAAAAGCACTTTGTATATGCATATATGTGAATCAAATCAGCAGCAGCATCATTCCGACACTTGTATGTACATGGAAGGTCTCGGATCTCATCTCTCAACCTTCATGGGAAATATTCTTCGATATGAGTGTACTGTTTCATAAGCGCATTTCAAGCACAAGTAATACTAATATGATAGATGTACTCACCAAAGTAATGATCTCTGAAGTTCCTTTAGGACATCAGCAGATCCAGATGGATCATAGGTATGAATCTTGAATCTGAGTTCATTAAGAATGCCTTCTTCCACGTGTGGTGACAAGCTCTGAAGAAGCTCATCAACTAAGGAGCCATCCCCGTTCCAAACAAAAGATACTGTTTCTTCAGGACTGAGCCTCTCCAGTGGAGGAGGGGCGTTCTTTGGATCCCCAAACACATGTCTCATAACATATCTTACCTGTGTATAATGCTCATTAGAGATTAACTTCATTTGGGAAAACAATTTAAAACACTTGCGCAAAAAGTGTGAAGGCAAAAAAAAGCATATAACACAACGTTTGCTTCTATAAAGAGAGATTGCAGTCACCTTGTCAAGTGTAACAGCCAAATTTTGAAGCCTCTGATTGTAGACGCCTTCAGCCTGACGCATTAAAGTTACAGATACAATAAGCATATAAGAGTTCGACAAACAAAGAACACCCCCTTTTACTACACCCCAAAACTAACACAGTTTTCTGAGGCATATAAGGCACGAGAGCAATTGAAAGAACCCACAAGAGGTTAAAAAGAGTGATAGTCTCACCTGAACCTCAGCATCACTTTTTTCAACATCAAGGTGTATATCTGAAAAGTATTTCCTCTTTTCTTCTAGATTGTGCTTGAGAATTTCCTCAGGAAGCTTAGTTCTCTCAAAATTGATAAACCGCACCTTTATGCACAAAAACTTTCAGTCAGAAGTTGTAATCCCAGCAATAGTGATGTGACAAACAAACATAAAATGATACAAGACTAACCAGACGAGCAGAATACGCAACCACCCAATCTGGCAACCCACCCAGCAAACAACTTCCCAGTCCAGCTCTTCCCAACTCAAGATAATCTTCTTCTGAAACTGAATTTAGTATACAGGCTTCTAGCATCAGTCTATGTCGATCCAGCAGACCATGCCAATCCTTCAACACCTGTTAACAGATATCGTTCAGAAAATTCAATTGACACTCGAGGGATTAAAAAAGAGGATTTTATAAAATTTTGGTACAAAGGTACAATTTGGCTTATTAGTCAACAAGTGCATACAACAAACCTCTAGTCCTTTAAACTCGATTAATAGAAGCAATATCGTTACTCTCATGTATCTTTGACACCATAAATATAATCATATATTTGTTAACAGTACAATTACCTTCTGAAATGCACCTTCACCAGTGAGATTCAAGTAGCTTCCACGGCATACTTGGCTACCACACAAGCAAACAGACGCTTCATATTCTTCCTTACTCTGTCGCATACACAAGAACCACTCTTTAGAATCATTCTTTAGATAGTGGAGTGGAAACACAACGATTAATCCAACGAAATAATACTTTGCTACAGTACGAACTACGTAAAAGAAGGGCTATGAACAGACCTCAGTAACAGAATTATAATCAAAAGTTATCTCCTCGCCATATTCAATGGATCGTACTGAATAGATGCCAATCTGGTAGTGTCCATCCACTGCAGTAACCCTGGAAACACCAGATGCGAAAGGGGAAAATGAATAATTGTATACAATTTATCAAATATGAAAAAAGCATCAGGGTGTTCTTCACTCCACATTTTTTAAAATGTATGTATGCATAAGAAACGAACAATACTTCCAGATACATATGAGCAGAGGATATACAATAATATGCAATAAAGAAATTTCTAAATTATCATTTAATATGTTTGTATTGATCTGACCATACTATGCAGGCAAGTTTATGCATCATGAATGACACTAATTATAACATATGTCACTTGGTTCTGCTCTCTGAATCCAGAATTCTGGAGAACATGGATGATTGTAGAGGGGAAGATTTTAACTTACTTAGCTTCACAATTTGGTCGGCAAGAGTGACAAATTCGACTTGCGTAGTTAGCCTTGTGCATGGCATCAACAACAACTAGATCATATCCATCAGCGTCACCCTACAGTAAAACATAAAAAGTAAGAAAATGGTCTAAAATATAAAATAAAATCCCAAACAACATATTTTCATTGTACCTTTGGTCTCTCAAGATATATATTGTAGAACTCTGGTGCAGGATCAGTTTTGTTTTCCTGTAAGGAACGGATCCCATCTTGCTTCTCAAACCACTTCCAAACAGGATAAACCTACAATATCCAAAATAAATCAAAATCTACGTTCAGAGATCCCTATAAGATAACGCCTAGTGAACTTCAGAGAATGTTGATGCTGCAGCAACATAAAATTACAAAGCTATGGACCCACCTCTCCAAGAAATTCAACAACAAAATCTTCTTCTCCAAAGCCACCTTCTTTGTTGCACACAACACCGAGTCCCTTCATGGAAAAAAAAAAAAAAGGCAGCAACAAAGCAGATTAACAAACTAATCCTCAACAAACTGACGGGTTCTTATGAAAGAACAACAAATCCATACCTTCCGATAAGAAACATATTTATCATCAGAACGACTTTCTATTTCCTTCAAGACGCCTTGACACATCTTCAATGTCCGTATATCACACTCTTCACGAGCACTCTCTTTGAGCTCTTCAATCACAGGCCTTAAAGGGAATACCATAGGGGTGTTTCCAGATCCAGTAAACAGCCGAACTTGCCTGTTCAGGGTACGTAAGACTACATCTTCTATAAATGAATGTTTATCCTGCAGGGACCAGTCCGAATCTCCAGGCATCGAATCAAGTAAGAGGTTATGGGTGTAAGGATCGATTCCATAAACCTCTTGCTCTAAAACCTCATCGCCAAGAAGCTTTCTTGGTTTATACTCCTTTACTTCAGGAAGTTCCATATCTAACTCTTCAATGCCATTTCTTTGTGCATTAAGCTTCTCACCATAGTCCTCTGGCAAAGACACCCGCATCTTTCGTTGTACTTCCTCCTCATCTGCGACAATTGCATACTCCTCAATCACTTCATATTTCCTGGTGACTGGTGGCACAAGACTAACTTTGGTCATACGTGCACCCCATTCACGCTCTTCAGTCACAGAATCAAAGGATTCGTCTGCTGTGAAGTATCTTTCAACGCGTAAGTCATGTGATCGACCTTCTGAATGGATATCCGATTCACTTTCTGAAGCCGAAGCTGAGCTATAATTGTCACTCTTGCCATTTTCAGAGAGTTCAGAAGATGTTTCACTACCCGAACTAAAGGATTTACGATTTAATTTAGACAAACGCCTTTTGATTTCTCGGTCAGATGCATATTCTCCATAATCAGAAGCACTATTTACACCAAATGTGTCACTAGTCCTGCTCATGTACTTCTTTTCAGTTACTGTTTTGCTCAACTTCTTGTTGTACTTAAAGGCTGATGAGAGCCCTGAGCCATCTTGCCAAGACTTCATTAGTTCATCCCTTCCATATGACGAAGTAATCATAGAGACCTCTTCCAAACGTGTGGCAAGTTGAATAAACAGTGTGATGATTCGGTTCATGTCTTTCGATCCCCCTCGATTCCTACCCCTGGATACATAAGATAGTGTCAGAAGCAAAAAATTCAAAACCAGTAGAACAGAAAATGAAAAATAAGCTTTTACCTTTTTTACAACAGATTACCTCCTACTTAACAACTACGAGTCAAGGAAACAATT